AGTCTTGCCATCTGGACCAGCAGCCATGCTCCTTGGTACCGTACCCAGTGGAGGTAAGAATGTATATCGACACCAAAAACCTGCACAGCTTTATCTAGAATTGTCCAATGTCAGAAGCAACCAAGAAGTCCTTCAGGAGGGTGGTGGGCAAATAAACGGTGGTCCATCCAGACAACGGGATATTATGCAGCACTGAAAAGGAACAAGCTCTGGAGCCACGAGAGGTCACGGAGGAACCATAAATGCACATCAGTGGGTGAGAGAAGCCAGTGTCAGAAGGCCGCACACCATGACCCCACCTCTAGAACATTCTAGAAAAGGCAGAACTAGGGACATAGGACAGAGATCAGAGGTCATTAGGGTTTGGGGGTGAGGGATGAATAGGGGGAGCTCAGAGGGCTTTAGGGCAGGGACCCCATTCCATGTGACACCGTGGTGCTGGACACGCATCATCACGCGTACGTCTGAACCCATAGGACGTTCACCACCAAGAGTGACCTCTTATATCAAATATAGACTTTAGTCAATAATGATGTATAGGAACGCCTGGGTGGCTCAGTGGTTGAGCAGCTGCCTTAGGCTCAGGTCATGATCCTGGGGTCCTGGGATCGAGTCCTGCATCAGGTTCCCCATGGAGACACGGAGAGCCTGCTTCTCCCTCTGCCTGTGTCTCTGCCTCTCTCTCCATCTCTCATGAATAAATAAACAAAGTCTTTTAAAAATGATATATAATTTCTTTTTAAGAAACAGTTGCTCTTGAGCCTGAGGGGGAGCTATATCCTGGCTGGCCGCCCTGGGCCAGTGGTTCTGCGTGTCTGAACGTCCCATCCATGCCTGTAACATGAGCACCAACGCCTCCTTGGCAAAGTGGAGAACTAAACACGTACCCTGGGGTCCACAGGCCGGGTGACAATGGGAATCAGGGCAGGGAATGGTCTGAATGACAACTTACGTCCAAAAGAAGAGGCTCTGTCTCTGCTGTCCCCTTCACTATAAAGGCTTCCTCAGCTCTGAGAATGACCCACATTCACACTACCGGAACCCCAAACCACAGAGGCCTCCCCCCACCTGTTTTCCCAAACCGCCTGCAGCCCTGCTCACCCTCCCTGCCAGACCAGCTCAGCTCTCTCGACCCCATCTCCCACCCCAGCCCCTCTGGCCCATTACTCTATGAAGACACCAGGCCCCTGGGCCTTTGCAAGGGCTGTTCCCTCTCCCTAGAACTCCTCCCCCAGTTAATCCTCATAGCTCGTGCCCATCACCCGTCAGGCTCAGACATCACCTGCTGGGGGCTGGAGGGAGCCCGTGGGGCACAGCCTGCTTTAAGCAGTCGCCCCCTGCCCTCTGCCCTGGCACAGCGGCTCGGGTGATGCTACGATCTCTGCTGTGGCTCACTTAGCACGTTTCACCACATCACCTCCCACCACAGAGGCAGCTCCTACTAGCGGAGACCGACTGTGCCCCTCTCTTTCATTCTCTGCCGTGGCCCTGGTGCCCCCGAGAAGCACATAGCCCGCTGAAGGCACTTGGAATATTTGCCAAACTAGTACCTGGGCCTGGGTGGCCTTGGGAGCCCCTCACCAATACCTGCCTCCCCCCACCCAGCAGCCTCAGCACACTTTCAAAAATTGCCACAACTGCTGTCACCTGAGGGGCTCCCCACTGCCTACAGATAAAATCCAACCTTTGACCCCAGCCCATAGCCCCAGGAAGGTCCAGAAAACCAAAGGAAAAGGAGAGGGAGCGGGGAAGCCCGGCAGGAACGCCCCAAAAGACACTCTTAGATGAAATAATGTCTCAAGCACGGGCGAACCCAACACCCAGTGGCAGGCCAGGCCAGCCGAGGGCCCCGGTGCCAAAAGAGACCCCCAAGCAACCCCCTCGCCCCACTCTCCCACCTCATGCAGACTCTCCCACCTCCCGTCCTCCCACCTCAGATACACTCACCTTGCCTCCCTCACGACCTTTGTGCCCCCTTGGCCTCCAGACTCTGTTCCGCCTGTGCATGTGGGGCCCTCTCCTCCTGCACGCCCTCCCCCCACCCCCCAGCCCACCGCTGCTGCCCGGGTTGGCCCGTTCCCAGCCTCTACCTGCCTGGCTTCCAGATTAAAGGCTCTACATCCTGTCTTCCTAGCCTGGTCTGCAAGAAGCTGCCGTGTGGCAAGAGCCTAGCATTTGCTCAGTTAGTGTTTGGGGGAGCCTACATCATCTGAGCCCCTGGTGGGTACTGCATGCCTACCGTGTGCACCAGGCACAGCGCTCCACGCTTCATGTGTGTGTGAGCTCACACCTCCCTCCTGCAGCCCTTGGTGCCTGGCTCCCCTCCCCACCTGCCTTCCCAGGCACAGGCTAGTGCAATGCAGCTGGTCCCCAGTCCCTCAGCCCCACCAAGTCAGTGACCACCCTCCAGCAGCTTGCTCCATGCCTCAGTTTCATCCTCAAATAGGGACCATGACAGGGCTGAACTGTGTTCAGCATTTGCCATTAGGGCCCCAATACTGGTTGTGTTGGCTGTGGCTGTAGTGCTAGCATTGTGGTTAACAGCAGCAGCATGGATGCCCAGGGGCATGCCGGCTACCAGCCTGCTCCCTGGCGCTCCAGGCTCAGGCACGGCCTGGGGGTCCAGAGAGGAGAGGGCTCGTTCTGACAGTGGGGCGTATGCTCATGCTTTCTTATCAGGAGCCCAGATAAGAGAGTTTGGGGCCATCAGATGTTACTGTGTCCATAGCATCCTCGTACGAGAATCATAGGGCACCAGAGGTAAGAATCTGAGGCCCAGGGAAAGAAGGACTTGCCTTGGGCCACATGCACCCAGGGTCCCACCAGCGACTCCACATTCAGTGCTCTTCCCTGTGGAGGGCAACCTCTGGGTATCTGCTACCAGGACGGACCATCTCTAGAAATGATGCCACCGTCCCATCTGCAGGCAGCCCTTGCCCTGCTTTGGAGAAAACCACCCTTGGGTGACACCTGGAAGGGACATGTAGGCTGCACCCCTGGGTCAAATGCCAGGGCTGCGTGCAGAGCAGGGCAGAGGCCTCAGGGGCCGTGGTGCTGGGGGCCCATGAGGTGTCCCTCCCCTGCCAGATTCTATCATGGGTAATGGCTTTTAATTCAGGGAGACTTTGCCAGGTGCTGGGCGTCGCGGACCCCCACTCACACCTCAGCTGCATGGTCCTCCCTTCCCACCAGGCTGTGGTCACACGGGTGTGGGGTGGGGAAGGCGCCTTCTCCACAGGAGAGACTTGAAGCCTGCTGTCAGGTCTATGCAGCCCTAATGCCCAGGTTGTAATCACGCTGGAGGGGGCAGGGCCCCCCTCTCTGACTGCGGGGGCATTTCTCAGTGACCTGTGAGACCCCCATCTCCCTCCTCCAGGCTCTTCTAGGCACTTGGAAGCTGAGTGCGTTCCAAGTGTGGATGCATCTTCAGAATCCAGGGCTGAGCCCAGCCCGGGTCCCTGAGCCGTGGGAGATGTGAGCAGGGGTGTCTACAGCCCCTAAACGGTTAACTTAAATGCACCACCAGTTCCCCCGCTTCTCCTGGCCCAAGGCAGCCGCACGAATCCGAATCCGGCTAGCCCGTCAGTTTGTGCTACTTCACGTCATCCTTTCCATTGTAAGCCATAATTTTCAGAGGTTTATAGGTCAGCTATAAAAAAATAAAATAAAATAAGCCTCCTCTTTTCGACTGAAAGGGAGTACTTTGAAAGCCGAAGGCTGGTGGGTGCACGCGGGTGGATGCGCCTCGAGTTCCTCCTCCGGGGCGGCGGCGGCGGATGCGGCAGGAGCCCACCCCTCCCCACCTGGCCCCTGGCGCCTCCCTTCCCCCCCCTTCCCCCCTCGCAGGCCTTTGGGCTGCCCCTCCCCCCACCGTGGGCGCGAACAGGCCAGGAACCCCTGAGGGACAGGGGTCTTCTGGTCCCACCCTGGTGGACCCAAGCCCACGAAGCTGGGGACCCTGGAGCCCTTGGGGCCCGAAGAATTGAAAGCTCTGGTCCCCAGGCGCCGGCGCCGCGGTAGTCAGCAAGGGGGATGGGCGTTGGCCCATCAGACCTCACCCCCACCCCGCAAGTGCCCACCTGAGCCCCATGCGGGCTCAGCCCAGGGCGGCTGGAGTGTGGGTAGCTTCCCTGCAGCGGGGGAAGCCGTGAGCCGACCCCCAAGTCTCGACGCACAGCCACCCCCCCCCCCGCACGAGAGGGGGCGGAGGGGGCGGGGGAGGGCTGGCAGAGCGAGGGCGGGGCCGCTCATCCCTAAGTTAGGGGCCTGCAGCAGGTGGTGGGAGGCCTGCCCTATCGGGAGAAAGTCCCTGTGGCTTTGGGGCCGATGGCCTAGCAAGTGTTTGGGCTACCCCCTGTGTCCGCTGTCCTATCTCCCTAACTTCTGGGGGAGCCAGAGAAGGGAGCTGGAGGCAGTTCAAGCACACACGGAGCTGACTTGCAGCGTTTTTCGGCCTCTTTATTTAGAACCCGGCGGACGAGGGGCCGGGGCAGTGGTGCAGACGGCTCAGGAACCATTTTTAACAGATTTGTCTTCAAGTTTAAAATAATCATAATAATAAAAAGAGACAGCGAAAGCGCGAAGAGAACTAGCTAGATGGGCTTGTACGGCAGCTACAGCTTGTGAGCGACCCCCTCCCCCCAGAGTCCGCTATAAAAATAAATTTACATTTGTCGATAACCAGATGCGGTGACGTGCCTTTGGCATAACCAATAACCGAGCTATCGCGTGGCAGAGCGGCCCACGCCTCGACATAAATAGAAAATATAAGTTAGTATAACTTTAAAAACTTTTTGTACAAATATACATGTTTTTTTTTCTTTTTTCCTTTTTTTTCTTTTTTCATTTTTTTTTTTTTTGCACTGAGTTTCAGCAGAGATTAAACATTTTATATAAATGACTCTTAAAGCTTTACACCTTGGGACCAGTGTACTCCTCGTGCAGAATACATTTAGATATAAAAGACGTTATTAATACATTGCACAGTTATTTTTTTTTTTAAATTTTAAACACGAAACCGAACGCTGCTCGGTGGCAGCTGCCGCCGGTTGCTGCTACATGGACGGTCCCAGCCGAGGCCCCGCGCTCCTGTCCTGTCCGCTGCCCAGCGGGCTCCCTCAGGGCTCTTTGCGCGCGAGGCTGCGGGAGAGAGGCGCAGTGAGCACAGCAGGCCCGGCCCCGGCCCCGGCCCCGGCCCCGGCCCCGGCCCCGGGCGCGGGCCCCGCGGGGCCTGCCCTCCCCGCCCGGCCGCGCGCGCGGCCCTACCCACCTCATCGCAGCCGCTTGCGCGGGGTCTGCTCCGCCGAGCCCACGGCCGGGGCGGCGCCAGGCGCGGCGCATCCCGCGGGCACCTCGTTCGACGCCTTGGCCTCGGGCGCGGGTCTCTTGCGCTTGGCGAAGAAATCTGCGGGCGACAGCGGCGCAGCGGCTCAGGGCAGGGTGGGCCGGGGAACGCGCGGGGCCGGGGTGGGGGCGCCGCCCCGCCCGCGCCGAGGTCCGCGGCGGGTCAGCTTTGTTTACGTCGCCCGCGCAATGTGCTGTGCAAGCATTTCTCCTTGTCCCGCGGCCAAGCCCCCCGGGGCTGCCGCCGCGCTTAACCCCCTCGGCGCCGCGCCCGCCGCGCCCGCCGCGCCCGCCGCGCCCGGGGCGGGGTCCCGCGGCCCGAGCGCGGGTCGCGCGCCCGGGGGGCCCCGAGCCCGCGCGCCCCGGTCCCGCCCGCGCCCGCCGCGCCGCAGCGCAGCCGCAGGCCGGGCCGGGGTGCGGGCGCGGCCGCGCCCTGCGCGCCGCTGGCCCTTTAATGCCACGGGAGGAGGCGGGGACCGAGGGAGGCCCCCGAGCCCGGGGGAGCCCGGCGGCCGGACAAAGCAGGGCCGGGCCGGGCCGGGGCGGGGCCGCGCGGGACTCACCGGAGATGAGAGGCCCGGGCAGCTTCTTGATCGCGGCGCCTCCCGCGGCAGCGGTGGTGGCCACAGCCGCGGCGGCGGCGGGAGCGGCGGCGGCAGCGTTGGCGGCGGGGGCGGCGCCCCCGGCGGCGGCGGCGGCGCCCGGCGCGGGGCGCCCCGCAATCCCTGAGTGCAGCGGCTCGGCCAGCGGCTCCTGGCTGCGCGGCGGCGGCGGCGGCGGCGGCACCGCCTCCTGCTCATCGCTCTCCGGCGGCGGCGCGGCAGGGGCCGGGGCGGGGGCCACCGCCGGGCCGCCCGACGGCGGCGCCGGCGCCTCCCCGAGGCCGTCGAGGGGCTCCTCGGCGGGCGGCGCGGGGGGCGGGCTATCGCCTGCGCCCTCCGGGCGGGGCCGGGGCGCCAGGAGCAGGCGGCAGCGCCCCACCTGCACCGTCTCGCGGTAGAAGGCGGGCACGGAGTCGCTGTCCACCTCGGTCCACTGCAGGCGCCCGGGGCCACGCAGCGGCACGTCCTGCTGGAAGTTGTAATCCCAGCGGCGCTGGTCCTCCGCACTCAGCTCGGCCAGGCGGATCTGCAGCTCGCGGCTCAGCTCCTCGTGGTCCACCGGCCCGAAGAGGCTGCGGCAGGCGCTGGTGCGCGCGAACAGGGGAAAGGTGCGGCGGGCGACAAGGCGCTCCATCGCCACTGCGCTGCGGAGACACACGTCGAACCTGGCCCGGGGCGGCGCGGGCCCGGGCCGCGGGAGAGGAGAGGAGAGGAGGAGGAGGAGGAGGAGGAGGAGGAGGAGGAGGAGGAGGAGAGGAGGAGGGCGGAGGCCGGGCGCAAGGGAGACCCCGCGCAGTCGGAGTCCGCATTGGCAAAGGGGCGCGGCGGGAGGGCGGCGCGGCGGCTACCTGGCTGTCGGGCCCGGGGCTGCTCCTGAGTGTCGCTCGCGGTGTCGTCCGGCCGGCGGCCGCGCCCCCTCGGTGCCTGTCCTCGCCCGCTCGGCTCGTCGGGGCCTGGCTGGCACCTACCGAGCGCAGAGCACTTGGCCTGTGGAACGCCCAGCCCTCGCGCGCCCCTTTATACGCGAGGGTCCCACCCCGCCCCCCCGCGCGCGGGCCCCGCCGAATTAGCATATGTAGTATTTTCAGTTTCAACAACACCGCGGCGATTGGCCGGGGCCGCGGTGCCCCCGCCCCGCTGGCGGCCCGGCCCCCGCGCGCCGCCCATTGGCAGCGCGCACACACCCACCCGAGGGCGGGGCGGGGCGCGCGGGCCGATTGGCGGGGCGCGGGGCAGTGAGCGGGGCGGGGCCCGAGTTAAAGGGCGCTGCGGGCGGTAACGTGACACCGCGGCGCCCCGCCCCCTCGCCCCATCCCCCCCCTTCCCGCCCCCCTCCGGCTCCTTTGTCTGCTGGCGGGGGCTGCGAGGCGGCGGCGGCGGCGGCGGAGCGGGCGCCCCCTCGGCCGGCGCGCCCTCCTCGGCGCGGCCGGGCCCGGCGTCCGGCCAGCGCCGACTCGCCCCCCGGGGGCGCCAGCCCCGCCGCCCGCGCTCACCATTGGGCCTCCAGCGCCAGCTGACGGGCCTTGAACCCGCCGCGGGCATCTCGTCCCCAGCGGGAGCGAGCTGGGGTCTTCGGCTGCCCCCGCGCGGCCTGCCTGCGGCGCCCGGGGCTGCAGTCGCCGGCAGGGTTCCGCGCACCTGGAGCCCTAACACACCTGCTGGCCCTAAGGCCCCCGGAACCGCTCTTTACCCCAAAGGGCGAAGTCTCAGACACCTTGGAGTGCGGGCCCTCAGTCCCTGGAGTCCTGAGGTCTTGGGGCCTGCCCAGCCCTGCCCGGTGGATGGGCACCCACCCCGGGCTATGTCCACCACCTCAGGGACCCGGTGCGAGACACCTCTCTCTCCCGCCTCCGCTTGGCCACTCCAGGCTTCCGCCACACAATGCCAGAGGTCGGACTACTCACACCAGCCGGAGGCTGTTGTTCTGGATGGGGTACTGGACAGGGCACTAGAGGCTTCTCCAGCCACGGTGGGCCTGGCTCTGCCTAGCCTAGGGCCTTGACTGGGTATCCTGGTCCTCTGGGGACCCCCAGGTGGGAGGTAGGGGTGAGCGGTGGGCAGCCCTGCTCTAGCTGCTGTAGGAGCTGTACCTGTCTCACCATCCTGGAAGGCTAGCACCCCCTCACTGTGACTAATCAATGTTGTTGGGAGAGAATGATGGGGCACGCAAGCCATGGGGCCCTACTCTGGCTGCCAGGGGAACGGGGAGGGGAAGGACTGGCCAGGACCCAGACCCCTTCCCCCAACACATGGGGCCTTGCTACAACCCCAGGTCCTCCTCGGTGGCTCTCATCCCCACTGGGCCAGGTCATGGGAGATGCTAACTCTCTGCAGCTTTCCCTTTGGCCCAGCCTGTTGTGGGGCAGGGAGCCTAGGAAATGCTTCCAACTCCTCACCACCCCCTGCCCCCCCCACACACACACACACGAGCTAAGAGCTAAGAGCAGCCCTGGAGGCCTGGGGGGTGGGGAGGGTCAGGCACCTGCCGGACAGTCCAGCAGAGTCCTGAGCTGTTGGCCTCTGTCCCTGATGAGCCCATGAGCCGAGTAAGAGAAATAAGTCTGACCTGACCCCAACCAGACTGCCTCCCCCACGGGGTCAGGTGGGTTCTAGGACTTCTTAGGGATGGGACGCTGTGAAAGTGTGAAAATGTGTCCTAGAGGAGGTATCCTGGGTGTGGGTGTGCCGAAGGTCGAAGTGAGGGGATGAGACAAACAGGAGTGGGCACTGGCACGGCAGGGCAGGGGTACAGGGCAGGGTGCTGGGCTCTTGATGACAGGACCACAGGCAATGGCTCACGGTTGGTTTTTATTCTGTTCTGTGCACTGGATTCCAAAGTTGCCACAGGGGTAGATGCTACAATTTTGTATCTTCAGGAGCTTAAAGAGGAGCTGATGAAGGTCCCCCAAGCTCTGTGGACTCCTTACACCAGGCTGCTGTCACCCGGCCTGGGGCTGGAAGGAGGCAGGGCCTGGCTATGCCAGCCTCCCCAGTGCCCTAGCCCAGTGGTGACCACAAAATGTGGAACCAAGTGGCCCCCAGGATTTCCCGAGAGGTCTGGATACCCTGGCTCCAGCTGCCCAGGAGGGCAGGCTGGGGAAGGAGCCCACCCGCAGCCCAGATTCAGCCTCCAGGCCGGCTCCCTTCCTAGAAGAAGGAAGCCACCCCACTCCCAGCCCCCGCTCCAGACACTCAGGGGAGCCCGAGCTCTCCTCCCGAGCAGGGACTGTGCTATGAACACCTGTCTGCCCTCAGCTCCCTAGAGGAGCTTAGTAAATGAGCAGGAGCTGACCCTGCCCTCCCCAAGCACTGTCCAGGGCAGAGGTGGGCTTAGAGGGCCATTGCCACTGCCTTTGGTGCCCGCCCTTACACCTCCGTGGGTGCTGGCTGAGTTTAGACAGGAGGGTCCCAGCACTCCTTCCCACCCCCACAGTGACATAACTAACAGCGTGTGGCATTGAGTTCTGCCTCCAAGGCCTGGGAGTGGCAGACCCACACACCTCGTGTCACACAGTGCGGCAATAGTGGCTGCCATGAGCTGGGACCAAGGATGGCTCTCCTGAATCCCCTTGCTGGCTCACCTGTTGTGCAGAGAAAGGAGGGAGCACAGTGGGGAGGGAGCACTTACTCGCCATCCTCTTGATGCCTGGCTCTCTCTTTGCTTTCCCTCTAGGCTTTCTGCTCTGATTTCTCCAAAGGCCATGGGCACACCTCCCCTCTTGGCCTCGTTAGGGCTGGGAGGTGACCTACTCTGAGTCTGTGCCCCTGAATCTGGTTACGGATGGTACCCACCGGCTTACTGAGTGGCTGGTCCTGAGCCGGGAATGGGTCTGGAGGAGGACAGCCGAGGAGCTGGGGGCCGGGAGTCTGAGAGAGGGCCCAGGGCTCCACCCCAGGGGCCCCCGAAGCAAGTGAACATCTCTCTGAGTACAGTAACGAAGCTCTACTTGTGTAATTAAAAATATATCCGAAGGAAAAAAGGAAACAAAAGGCATGATGTTTGTACTCTGTGTTGCTGCAAACGGTAGAACCTGAGATGGGGTGCTGGCCCCTGGGGACCAGCCAGGACAGGCTCCCGGGATGCCCCAGCACCCCACATCCTGCCTGCATGGGAGTGGGGGAGCCCGCATGCAGGGTGAGGGGGTCAGAAACACTGGGCCCCCTGCTGGCTTCTCCAGTGTGCATCTCTGCCCTTCCTACCCCCGTCCAGCAGAGGAGCAACCCAGTAAAGGCACTGTGTTCCCCAAACCATTTCCTCTTCCTCTGAACGAACAGAACAAGACCACATTCCCAGCCCCTCCGCTGCTGGGGGGCCACGGACACAAGCAAAAGCATGCTGCACCCTTTCCAGGCTGGGACCCAGCAAACCAGCCAAGCTATCCTTCTCCCTCTCATCCCTGCCCTGCCAGCTAGATGGTGGGCAGGGGTCCAGGGAGGGACTCCTGGGGACAGCAGAAGCTGTGAATGACCACAGGGAGCTGAGCCAGCAACCCCACCAGCTCCCTCTGCACACCCTCCTGACGGAGGGGAGTGAGAAAGAAACGTTTATTGCATTTGAAGCCACCAGCCCTCGGGAGTCGTCTGTTACCGCAGCCACCCAACTCCCCCGTGTGGCACGGGCCTGCTCGGGGTGTCGTTTTCTGGATGAGGAGACAGGTCTGGGCAGATTGAAGAAGTTGGTGCAGCTCCAGTGGTTAAGGCAGCTAACCCCCTAACCCAAGCCCTGGAGGGGCCACTGCTCCTCACAGACTGCCCCCACCCCCAGTGCTGAGGGAGTGGGCCCCTTCTGCACTCCAGGAAACTGAGTCACAGGGAGGTGGTGGTGGTGGGGACACTCTTGCCCCAGCAAGTGGCAGTGCTGGGTGGGCCGGAAAACGTCCTCAGCCACGGGCTGCTGCCTGGTGGCTGACTTCCCCACCGGGTATCCCCAGAGCTCCCTCCTCCTGGGGAGCCACATGGAGCTGCTTCTGGAAGCCCAGTAGGGCAGTCTTCGTACTGGGCCCCCCCCCCCCGCGTGCTCCCTGGGACCCTACGAGGGGTGTCTGCCTGCAGCCCTCTGGGACTGTTTGCCAGGTGGTGTCCCTCCACCCCCAGGAGTGCAGAGGGAGGTTACCCATGCTGACAGCACCAGCTACCCTGAGCCCCCCCTGCACCCGGGCTCAGCTCCTTGCCTCACTTCATCCTTCCAAGAACCCGTACAGGGAGGTTTTCTGATGCCTGTTTAGCAAGGGAGGAACCAGAGGCTCAGAGAGGTCGAGCAACCACTCAGCGCTGAGTGGCAGCAGATCCGGTGCCTTTCCCTGGCCCTGAGCCCCTATCTGAGCATGAAAGCTGGAGAGGAAAGAAAGCAAGAGTCCCCCAAGGGGGGAGGGAGCCGGAGCTGGGCATCCGTGGGGGCTGTGGCCCTGGCCTGGGAGGCATACCCCTCAGGTGCCTCCCATCGGGGAGCTGTTGCCCAGCCCAGGCTGCCCCCTCCTATGTAGCTCTTGGCCTGTCCACTGCATACCCCACCCCCTGGCCATGGGCAGGGCCAGCCCCGGGGGGCCCCAAGCCACAGCACCCAGCAGTAGCCCTGGACAGGTCCAGCCAGACCCCTCGGGGAGGCTGCTGCCCCTCGGAGCGTCACCTTCCCCTCCGTAAGACGAGGCCTGGAGGCCCCGAGGAGTGTGGAGAGTTAGAGATTAACTAGCCAGCCTCCAGCGACAAGCAGCCAGCCCAGCTTGGAGCTGGGGCTGGCGGGGAGGGGGGGTTTCCTAGCACACTTGGCCCAGGGCCCAGCGCCGGCGCAGCAGCAGCAACAGCAGCAGCGGCAGCAGCAGCAGCAGCGGCAGCAGCAGCGAGAACCTTCCTCCCCGCACTGACTTCCCGCGCTCCTCTCGCCCCGCCCCCAGCCCCCCCAGGACGGGCTGTTCTCGGGGCGGCTGCCAGGCACGTCCTCCGCAGGTGCCGGCCTCCCTCCGGTGACGCGTCCACAGGCCTCACGACGGGAATCCAAAGCTCGGATTACAGGGGCTGCCTTGTGCTCTGGTCCGGGCAGGCCGGGGGTCCTCACTCCCCGGGAATTAGCAGGAGGGGCTGGGCAGGCCCTGGGGGAGGCGCAGAGGGAGCAGGGAACAGCCCCGGACTTGCGGGCTCCGCTGCCCAGTCCCCCACAACAGGCGGAGGGCCCCTTCCCCTGAGTCTCCAGCAGGAGGACCACCTCCTCCCAGCTTGTCCAGGACTGTTCTGGTTTCAGCACTGACCATCCCAGGAGGCCCGTGACCACTGGTTATCCTAAGCTGCAGACAGACCCTCCCGGGCTCTCCAGGGAGGGGGGCAGGTATGCAGGAGGCTCTTAGGACACTTTGGCCACTCGGAGCCCCACCGGGCTTCCCTCCTCTGCACCACAGAACACAGACTGGGCAGGTCCCCGCAGCTCAGAGGCTCACCCTGCCAAGGAAAGAGCTAGGGAAATGAATGTGGGTGAGTGGATGCCCCTTCCTGGGTCTCATTCCACCGTGCCCCTGACTTCCTGCCCGGTCTCCTTGAGCTAGGGGGACCCCTGTGAGTCAGCCTCTCCTGTCCACAGGGGACACAGGGGATCCCAGCTCCCACCCTGCTTCCAACACACCCACATGGCGTTCAGAGAAGTGGAGAGCCAGAGAGGGGACGAGAAGGCCTACATCTGCACCTCCGCCCCTCGTGGGTTCAGAGCCCTGGCCCTGCAGTTATGAGGAATAGGAGCTGGGAGCCCACATGCCCACTAGGCCCCGGGGCGGGGTCTCCCTGGGCCTGTGCTGGACTGGGCAGTATGGGAGCTCCTTGCTCCCGCCACAGCCCCGAGCAGGCCCCAGAGCAAGTTGGCCACCAAGGCCAGGGAAGGAGAGCCTTCCCCACTTCGTTCATTCACCTTGGGTTCCCATTGCCCTTCCCCCAGCAGGGTTTCAAAGGTGCACCGTGGTTGGTGGGGACGGAGGCCAGGAGGTAGAAGCCGAGTCCTGGCCGGTCCTCCCCATGCCCTGCAGGCCACACAGAGTAGGGGCTCAGCGGAAGAGGTGCCTGTCCCCTCCCTCCCTCGATGGCCCTGGCAGGGTTTGAGGGGCTGCTGAAGCCTCCCTCCGAGGTGACCGCCCCTGAGCCCCGAGGGCATCCAGCCTCAGGCCCTGAGGCCTAAAGCTGGACGCCTGCTGCCCCCTGGTGTCCATGGCTGGCACTGCAGCCAGGCGCCCGCCCACCTGCCCGCAGGCAGGGAACCGGGAGAGCCCGGGGAGAGCCCGGGGAGAGCCCGGGTCACCCCCGAGCAGCCCTCAGCACCCCCCATTCATCCCTCACTAGGTGGGGAATTTGGGCAAGGGCCTTGCTCTCTGGGACCGTAAGGCTCCTCGAGTTTAAATGAGGAGGGGCTACCCAGGGTGGCCGGTCAAGGCTGTGCTGGGGGAAAGCCCCATTTTCAAAAAAAAAAAAAACCCTCTCCCCTCAGTGTTTGGGGAGGCTGCCACTCACACTTCTCTGGGAAAGAACACACGACTTTTCTCTTCTCTGGTGAGCAGGGGTCAGGGGGCCAGGGGCCCAGGAGCAGGGAGAGGAGGGGAGTGTCCACCAGGTAAAGACCCACAGTAAGGGAAGGCCCCCTTTCTTCCTCAGCCCCAGCCCCTCTTCCCCTTCCTGCGCTGCCCCCCCCCCCCATCCTCCTCTGCCTGCTGTCCCTCCATCAGTGCTGCTGGCCAAGGCCCCGGGCGGTGGAGAGCCCTGAGGCTGCCTGGGCCTCCTCGTTAGTCCTGCCCTTGCCTTTGGGCCCAGACGGCCGCCGGCCGACACTCAAGCATAGCACCGTCCATCGGTCACAAGAACAACCCGGCTCCAGCTGCTTCTCACAATGGAGCCCACCGAAGCGGTCACCCGAAGTCCAGCTCTGGGCATGGAGCCTGGCCCCTGCTGGGAGAGCAGCAGAGAGGAAAGCAGGCCTGATGAGAAGTGTGTGCCCCAGAGTCCCACAGATGAACCTGAAGGGAACCCCGTGGCCAGGAGGGAGGGCCTGGGTCTGCCTCCCAGCTGCCCACGGCCAGGTACAAAGCCTGATCTAGGATGGTGGGAAGCAGGAGTACAGCAGGAGCCCCCATCAGAGCCCACCCGAGGACTGGGATGAAGAGGGGAATCTGGGAAGGGCAGGGGTCCCAGGCAGAAAGGTGGCCAAGCCCAGCATGGCTGGTCCCAAGTAACCCCAGAATGAGCCAGATGACCAGGGCTGGCTTCAGTGGCCAGGCGTGCGGGCCTGGGACTCCAGCCTGGGAGCTGGTGACATCTCAAAGGCATCGAGGAGCACAGGAGGCTTCCAGCTTGGGGTCCAGGGTCCTGAGATTTAATGGTGGCATCAGGTGCCGTGAGCAGAGGTTGGAAGGGGGGGAGAGGAATCGGGGAAGTCAGGCAGGCAGGAAATCTTGGTGGCCCCGGGCCAGAGCATAGGTGGGTCCTGGAAAGACAAAGTCAGAGGGCGCTGGGACCCTGGGGTATGGGGCGTGACTAAGGAGAGGCCAGGAGGGGTTGGGAAGGATGGTTGCAAGAGGTACCTCCATGATGCTGGGTGCCCCTTTGCTGGGGGGACAGAGGGGATGGCCCTAGCCCACAGCCACCCCCAGAGTGTGGGTGGGCCTGGATTCCTGCTGGCGGCCACGTGGCTTTTCCACCTCTGGCCACTCCATGCCCGCAGCATTCTCGTGGTGAGGGGGCTGGGGCAGGGAACAAGGGAGGGGGCACTGCCTGGCCAAGCACAAGCCTTTGGGCTTTAGAGTCAGAGCAACCGCCTCTTACTGGCTGTGTGACCCTGGACAAGTCACTTAACCTCTCTATACCTCTGTTTTCTCACCTGTAAGGCTCCTGATGGGGCTCGGGGGCCATGTCCACATGAGCCTGGCACAGTGGTCGGCACCCTCCTTGTCCTAGAGCGGCAGCAATCACAGCCCCAACACCAGTGGCACCTCCAGCTGCCGCTGTAATTTAAACTGGACTTTTGCTCTGAGCGCAGGGACATGGGCTGGTGGGGAGATGCAGACCCCAACACAGGCATGCATGCCCCCCACCCAGTCACAGGCAGTTCCCTAATAACTTGTCAGGCAGAGCAGAATGGTCTTTACACACTAGGCAGCTGGACAGTGCCACCATCCCCTCCAGAGCCCAGAGGCCCATGGGATGCAGGTCATTCATCATGACTCTGGTGGCCTGGCTCCACTGAGCACTCAGACCCATCCCCCCCAGCTGTGTGCATGCCCAGTGCTCAACAGGGTCCTGAGCCAGCCCCGGCTGGATGCTGGTCGGCACCCAGCTGCTGCTGGTGGCACCCTCTCTGTGCTGGGCAGCCCCGTGCATGCACCTTATATGCCAGTTATCTCATTAATCCTCCCAGATGGCAGAGATTGGTCCTGTCCAGTTCACAGACGGAGATACAATCTTGAGAGCACAAGCCCCTTGTCAAGACCTGGAATGCACACGGGCTGCTGGGGTTTTACGGTTGGAGCCTCCCTGAGGAGCCTCCTGCCCCGGATGCTCTGAATTCTGATTTATGGAAAATAGTGAAGCAAGTGACTGCCTTTGGGTTGGACATTAGCTATGGTAGCCTGGCAGGCCCCTGTTGGCAGTGTGACCTTGAGCAGGCCCTCCTCCTCGAATGTCCAATCAGGTTCTAGGCTAGGAGTGTTTCCCCAGTCCTGAGCCCTGGGACCTCAGGGGGGGCCTCCCCTCCAGGGGCTTCCAGGCTGGTGGGTGGAGTCAGAAACAGGTGAATAAGCCAGGGCAGGTTTGGGGCTGCTGGGTACAGAGGGGCCAGCTGCCTGATGGAACAGGCTCTGGGGAGGGTTTTCAGGGCCGTGACTCCCGTGGGGGCCAGGGGCAGAGTGGATGCTGGGGCTATCACTCATTCTTCTTCAGTTCACTCGAGATGTGTGCAAGAGCCAGCCATCCCTGGAATGGAGCAGGGGCCCAGGGGCCTTGGGGCGGGAGGCACCAGGTCCCCTAGAATCTCGCCCAGCCAGGTGCCAGGGTGTCCAGCGTGTGGAAGGGAAGCCGATGTCGGTGTGGTGGCCCCCAGCAGACACCAAACAGCCAGGCACCTTAAAAGTGCCATCCAGGCAGGGGAAGGTGGCCGGGTGACAGCCACGGAGTTCTCCAGAGTAGGAAGGGGTTTGTGAGTTTGTGACTTCTGGTTTCCTGAAAGTTCTTCCTGCTTCTTTCTGGACGGATTCTCTATTGAGTTTCCAACGGACAGAGGTTCTAGAAGACACCAGATGTGGGATTGGATGGTCAGAACATGGTGTTGCCTCTTCCAGCTGGTGCTTGGAAGAGGTTTGGGTACCTAAGAGGCATTTGCAGACCTCCAGCCCCCACCCCCCAGGCATGTTTTGTTGGGAGACCAAAGCCCCGGGGCTCATCAAGAGGAGTGTATTCGGGCCACACATCCTGCCTTGGTTTCCCCACTGCAGCCTGGTGGACAGGTGCGGGGCTGCTCTCTCTGAGGCCTGCTCCCCTGGGAAGTTCAAAGGCCTGTGTCTTCCTGAATCCAGACTGCCCTTCCGCCCTCCCACACCCCCTCAGAGGCCCTTGCCAGGCCAGACCACCAGCTGCTGGCCACTTCCCCTCCGGCCTCCCTGGATGGACACCCCCTCCTTTGAAGCTGTTCCTTCCCGAGTACGGAAGTCAGGGTGAGGCGTCCCTCGAGGGTGCTGGAGGTGGGGACCCCATGACCTTGTGGTTCTCACCACCCACCCCCCAGCATCCTCCCTCCCTCCCTCCCTCAGGCCAAGGTCCACCAGCATGAGTCTGTCTGGCCTCCAGGGATTCATAAAGGGAGAGTGACCAGCCATCCAGGTTTGTCCCCATTTTTACCTGGAAAGCCCCATGTCCCAGAAACACCTCAGGCCAAGTCTGAGTTTCCCAAGACGGGGTCCCCTGTTCCTCCTCTGCTCTGGTCGCCCAGACCATTGTGGGAGGAAGGGGACCTGACCACCCCACACTGTCCCACTGGAGGGTCCCAGGTCTCCAGTCTGCAGGCCTCCCACCACGGACACCTCCAGCAGCCTGCTGGGCCCTGGAGTGAGGGACCCTGTGTCCCAGCACACAGCCTGGAGAAGAGCAAAGCCCAGTGTGAGCCCGGTGAGTGCTTGTGTGTCCCAGGACCCCAGCTTCTGCCCCCTGAGCAGGCTCCTGCCCTCATTCCACCTGATTCTGGGGTCACTGGATCACCAGAGGCCGGTGGAGAAGCCCCCTGGGGATGCGGCCATGCTATAACCTAAAGGCTTCAATCCCACACACCTACCTAGAGGGTGAGTTAGAACCAACCCAACACTCAGCTGGAGAGAACCAGCCTTGGACTAGGCGTAGCCCCCCCAGGCCCCCACCCAGACCCCAACCCCAGCAGCCTATTTGCAGACTCCAGCTCTGGAAGATTCCTTGGCACCTGCCAGCACAACCCCTTGTGTGGCACCTGCAAAATGACTCTGCCCTCTAAGACCCTAAACCAGACGGCCTCTGGGAAGGAGCTGGTGAGCCAAGGCCCCCGCCACCCGCAGTGGGCTGGGGCGCCCCTTATAAGGCTCTGACTCCGAGGACAGCGCACCAGGTGGAAGCAGGAGCCGCACGCCCTCCCCCAAGCTGAGGCCCCAGCACAGATGCGTCTGACGCCCCTGCTGGCCGCGGCCCGGAACAGCACCTCCACCGTCCCGCCGTCCCGCCGCCACCGTCCGGGTCCTGCCACCAAAACCCCGGGGCATCCCTGAAGAGGCAACGCTTGAGGTGGGCCCTCGGGGAGTAATAGCAGAATGAGCACCGCTGACCTCTCATCGACCCTCAAAAGGGCTCATCTCCCGAGGATGGTGCCCGAATTCAAGCCTCCAGCTCAGACCGCGGCTGCAAACCACACTCTCCCGCAGCCTGCGCTGACCCACGTCTCCGCCCACCTGGGCATGGAGTTCCAGCATGTTCTCCCTGGAGAAACCCCCACCTCCCGGCTAATGGCAGGCCATACTGCAGGTGCTCTCTCGGCCCCGCCCCGTCCATCAGGACACCAGCTCTTCCTTCCCCAGGTGTGCAGAGTCCTGCCACCCCTTCCGCTGCCCCCTCACCCTACTGGGACAGCAAGGCTCCCTGTGCTGGCCCTTCCCCCCACTTCCCCCTCGTTTGCCCAGTCCCTGATCTGCACATCAGCCAGAGGCTCCTTCTGGAAGAACATAAGGGAAGCTCAGAATCCTGCAGTGGCTCCGTTGCAGAGCAAAACCCACACGCTCACAATCACTATATAATTTACCCATCACACATACTGGGTATTATCTACCCCCTCACACACACACACACACACACACACAGACAACACGCATACATGCACACACCTGTACACATGTGTGTACATGTATATAAGTGCTCGCATATATGCACGCACATGCATATACATATATGTGGTGTACTTGTACACCCATGTGTCTACCAGCATACGATTGCACGTGTACATGCATGCATGCACACACGTACATGCACCTGTGTGCACACACACATGAACATACGTGCACTCTCAGGCTCACTATAACAAGCCACACCGGGGCAGTCACATTTGTGGGTTGAGTATCCCCAGCACCTGGCCCAGAGCCCAGCGTACAGTGGGTCCTCAACAAATGCCAGTCGGCCTCAGCGAGTCTGCCTATTGTGCAGCCCATCCCCAGTTCAGATGCCCGGGCAGGCCCTTGGGTCCTGCCAGCTCTGGGAGACACCCATGGGTCTCACCCTCCAGCATACCTGAGCCAGAGGGACCCTCTCCAGGGCACACCTCCCCTTCACCCTGTGCCTCCCCCTCCCAGCCCTCTGGGGCTCCCCCAGGGCCTTACTGTGGCCAACCAGACCCTCAGAGATCTGGCCTCACCACTCCTCTCCAGAATTAAGTCTAGCCCCACACACACCTTTGCCCCCACCCCATCAAAGGTTCTCAGCTTTCAAAACACCTGAAATTGGGCTCAGCTCTCAGTTTGGCAGGCCCTTCCTGCACCTGGCCAACCTTCGCTTATCCTCAAGACTCCTCCTTATCCTCCTGTCACCTCCTCTGAGATGCCCTCCTCCCTAACCCCGCCCCTGATTCCTGCAGGGGCCTGGATCAGCCTTGCCCAGGAGAATTGTGGCTCTGGGACTGGGCGCGGGTCCTAGAGAAGTGCCCCGCGAGTGCTGAGGGGCCGAGTGGGCAGGGCAGACTAGCCCGGAGAAGGAAGAGCCATTGGGGCTTCCAAGTTCCCCCGCTCCTCTCTCCTGCGGCCCAGAGGGCAGTTTTCCCACACTCAGGACCAGGAAGCTCCCCGCCCACACGGAGGAGCTGGTTCATGACAAATACTCAGGTAGAGCCGATTACTTCTGCTCCAACCAGTTCCAAGCTCTCCAAGACCCTGCTGGACGCAGGAGGAAGGGAGGTGAGTAACCAGCTCCTTCCTGCCCACCCCACGTGCTCTGCAGTGGCCTCGGGCTCCCTCACCTGCCCTGGGGCAGGCTGCAGACTCTCACTCCTCCCTCTCCTGCCTCCTGACCCCCAACTCCTGCCCAGAGAACCCAGAAGGAGCCAGATGATGTCCCGGCCTCCTGACCAGGTCTGTGGCCTTGGGGGGTGTGGAGCCTCCTGGAGACAGTCCCATCCCCCACCTCACCTCACCCTCACAGAGAACAGAACCACCTGGACTCCAGTCCTCCTCCCAGGGCTCCTGCATCTCCAACACCACGTCTCCGTCACCCCAGGGCAACCCTTCCTGGAAGTTCTTCTGGGAACCCCCTGCTGGTCCACCTGCCCGGGCTCTGGGCTCTCAGCGCAGCCCCTGAGGCTGGCAGAGAGCAGGGGGTCCCTTCCCCAGGTACAAACACATGTCCCCCATTTGCACCGTGGGGATGGAGCTCTTCCTCAAACATAGGCCCGCTATGTGGGGGGTGTGGTGTGAGCCACACCCCCTGCTGACCTAGGCCAGCTGGCCCCTGTCCTGAAATCAGGCCCGCGAGGGCCCCAGGCTCCCTGGCTGCGCCCCTAACAGCTGGGTGTTGGTTTCCCCCCAGCTGTCCCTGGGCACCCCAGGAGGACCTTGGTGGCTGTCGGCTCTACCTGGCTGGGCTCCTCGGAACTGGCAGTTTTCTGCTCCGTTGAGCTGTGGTTAACAAAAGGCTGAGGGGACTTTGGCTTTGACATCTGGGCCTGTGGCCTGGCGCCGGGGGCGGGGCCACCGTGTCCTACACCAGCATCCGGTTCCTTATCTGGGGAATCGTGTCTGATTCCAAGGGGGCATCTGTGTGCTCCCGAGGACTCCACAGAGGATCGGGATCAGGGGCTGTACGCACTCCACTGCCCCCCCAAGCCCTCCCCCCACCCCCAGAGACGACTTGAAGCCAGGTGTACCTGCATTCCTTGGGTCTCTGCTGGCCCCGGCCAAGGGGTGAAATGGCAGCTGAGTGACATGAGGGATTGATCCACTGGTCTGTAGGCGGAGGTAGGGAGAGGGCCCAGGAGCTGTTTCCAGAAATGCCCCATTCCCCAGCCCCTCCTCTGGGTCTCTGTGCAGACAGTGGGGGCGAGGGGCAAACAAGGATCCCTGCCCTCCTTCCCCCTCTCCCTTCCTTCCCTCCACTTGTCTCCCCTCCCATCCTTTCCTGCACTGTCCCCGGTCCCTCTGCCTTGTCCTCCTCTCTGTCCACCCGATGTGTGGACTAGACACCTGGCTCCCTTCTAGAAGTCAGAATCCCTGCCTCCCCCACCAACCTGGAAGAAAAGCTGTGGGGGGAGGCACCATGCCCCTCGAGACACGTTGGGCCAGAGTCCCCGGCACCCCAGGAAAGCTAGTGTCCCAGGTCACCCAGAGAGCAGGGGTACCTAAGCCCAGCAACGGAAGGGCCAGGCCAGAGCCCACCCCAGGAGAGATCACCCCACTGGATCAGAACCCTAGGATGAGGCAGGCACCAGAGCTCACTCTGGCAAGGGCATCCCCTGGCGTGCACTCATGGCAGTGTGGAGCCTCTGAGTAGCCAGCCGGGTGCCCCTGACCTGAGGCTCTCAACCTCTACCCGCCTCCCCCAGCCTCCCTGAGCCTGGAGGGGGAGGGTGCCAGAAGCAGCAGTCCTGGGCTTCCTCCTGCTGTCACCCAGGCTGGATCCCAGGCTCTGAAGCCCACCCTTGGGGCAGGGGCTTCTGTGGAGCCACAGAATTGAGTTTCTGCCAGCTGGGGGGCTGGAGAGCAGACCTCGCCCTGCAGCAGAAGGTACACAGAGCTGCCCTGCCTGGGGGTCCTGGAAAGCTAAGCTGTATCCCCCACCACACCCTCAGGCCACTCCCGATGCCTCCTTGGGGTGTGGCTGGGGAATTGGGGGTGGGGGGTAAACCTTCCTCTAGAACTGCTCCATCGTGGTGGGGGGTACACTGTGGGCCTAAGGAGCCACTCTCCCAGCAACAGGGCCCCAAAAAACAAGGCCCACACATGCGGGAGGCGCCTACCTGAACTGCAGCCAGCAACCATCTGGGCCTCTAAAATGGGGCTCCCCTCATTAAATGGGGTGCTGGTGCCTTCCTGTGTAAGGCACGTGGGGCACAGAGCCTGGCCCCCACAAGCCAGCAGGGCCTCTGTTGCAGGTTCCCAGGGAGCCATGCGCCCCCGCACTCAGAGTTGTCAGTGGTGCAGGCGGAGGGCCACCTGCCATGTTCTCCAAGGGCAAGAGTGGCCTGACCTTGCACAGTAGGTGGCTAGAAGCCCGGCTGGGGGTCCTGCAGCACTGGCCTCTCCCACAGGCACTCTCCTCGACGCAAGGCCAGGCCGGGCACTGCCCTCCTCCCGCCCCGTGACTCAGCACCCTTGGCCAGCACAACAGGACTTTTGCCCCCTACCTGCTGTGCCGGCTTCCTGCTCGGATCCGGCTAGGCTCTTCTGCTGCACCTGCTAGGATGCTGGGAGCTGGAGCCCCTGGGGCCCGGGGCCAGTACTCCAGGGGGACAGGCACCCCGGGCCGTCTCCGGGTCATCGTCCTCACCTATGTGCTGGTTGCCCTGGAGCTCACCTGCCTCTTCATGCGGTTCTCCATCCTGCCGGTGAGTCCCTGCCCGCAGGGGGCCTGGCCTGGCCACCGGCATGCAGGAACTGTCCCCCTCACTTTCCCTGTGTGCCACGGCAGGGGCCGGGGGTGGGGGCCCAGGGCTGCCCAGGCCACTCACCACGTTGGAGCTGAGCAAGCTGTAGAGCCTGGGGACTGTGCCTCTTGGTCCATCCATCAGCACTTTTTGTGCTCTGGTGCAGGGCCAGCCCTGGGGAGGGGCCACAGGGAGCCACCCCCACTGTCGCAGTCATTCTTGTGGCCCTGCCTTGCTCTGGGCTGGCCTGGCCCTGTCCCTCCCACGCCCTGGGGGCCATTGCCCTATTGATCCACTGCACCCGCTGGGTTCTGTCCTTCCTGTTCACAGGCCTCGGCTCCGGCCAGCCTCCTCCGCGACACCTGCAGACCCTAGAACCTCTTCCCCACCATCCAGATCCTGCGTGGTCAGCCCTCCTGCAGGTGGCCCACGCCCCACATCCTGTGGCACAATATTAAATTACTTGTCTCTCCAGCCAGGGCATGAGGGCGGGCCTGGCCCCATCTCCTCCTCTGTAACCTCCCCAGATCTGGAACTCTGCCCACGATAGTAGGCGGGTGGTTACAGGCCACTTTAAAAGAACTCCTAGTGGGTTCTCCTGAGCAGCCTGTGCCCCGGGGATCCAGGCAGGAGAGGGCACTGCCTCTGCCACCACGGTGGGCATGGCAGGGGCTCCCCACCAGACAGTGAGCCTTGACTCCCTGCCTCTAAGCCCTGACTCCATCCTTAGCAGCCCAGGGGCCTGGGCAGACGCCTTGCCATCCCATCATGAATGGGCCACCATGTCCCTCCCTGGGAAGGTTGGTGCAGGGAGTGCCAGTGAATAGTGAAAGGCCCAGAGCAAGGCTGGAGCTCCCAGGAAGGTTGCATGTTTTGTTCTTTAAATGCTCACCGAGCGCTTACTGTGTGCACCCTTTCTCAGAACTTGGATTAAAGCAGATGTAGACTCACGATCCGAGTCTTAGACTGTGCTATGTGCAAAATAAGGCCTGCTGCAGGGGCTGAGGGTGCCCACAGACAGCTGGTGGGTTTGGGGGCAGGAAAGCCTCCCCCAGAAGGCAGCCTTAAAGGAAACAAAGAGCAAGCCAGGCTGGTGCAAAGGCCCTGGGGTAGTAGTGAGAACAGTGCAGCTAGAGAGGAGGGAGGGGAGGGCAGGAGAGGGGAGGCAAAGCTCCAGAAAGGCGGCTGGCAGGGGAAGGCAGGAAGCTGCTAGCCTTGGGGACTGTGGTGAAGGTCGAGCACAGTAGTTGCCAATGGACTGGATGTGGCTGTGGAAAGGCAGAGGCATCAGTGATGGAACAGAGGAGCCAGTGTCTGGGGGAGGCCATGGGAGCCAGTTCTGGATGTCCTGAATTCCAGATGCTTCTGGACACGGAGTGGAGAGCCAGGGGCAGTTGAGACGTCCTGGGGTGGCAGCGGCTGCCTGGGACCCAGCCTGGTTCCCTGGAGTGAGTGTGAGCAGAGCAGGAGTGCGGGGTCATGCAGGAGGGGGGTGCGGGGCATGAGTCATGCAAGTGGGAGGAGCAGCAGAGCTGAGCCTGGGGGAGCAGGGGAGGGGGCACCCAGCGGGTGTGCAGTGGGAGAGGCAGAGGCTAGGAAGCTCCTCTGTCCAAGGGTTTTGCTGTAAAGGGAACAAGGTTTGGGGTGGTGGCCAGAGGGGAGGGGTGGAGGGAAAACAGGAGAGACAGCGGCAGGTGTGCTTCCCTTAATGGAGCCAGAGAGAGGAGGCCCTGGGGAGGTGAGAGGTGGGATGCCGAGGAGACAGAGACTCAGGTGAGGACAACGCAGGTGGGCAGCTGTGGCAGCAGGGATAGGAGGGGAGGACGAGGCAGGTTTGAGAGGGAGGAGAAGGTGGGATGCAGTGGTGGGGGGTAGAGCGTGGGCTCGCTGGGGAACGGGGATGATGGTCCGGACAGCCAGCAGGGCTCTGGCTTCTCCGGCCTCACTCAGCAGCCCCGTTCCCCTTTGTCCCATTCTGGGAGGAGAGGGAGGGAGGAGGGGGATCGCTAGCTGCCCTGGGATGCCAGCTGCCCTGGGGAGGGGGGTGTGTGAGAAAGAAGGCAGAGGGATGCCCTTGACTGAGCTTCGGCAGAGTACAGGGTGTGAGGTTAGGGATGAGGCACATTTGCTTTCTGGGGCTCCCTGGCAAAGCACCATACACTGGTGGCGGGGGCGGGGGGGGTTGGTCTTTGCTGCCTCTTCTAGCTTCTGCTGATCCCAGACATTCCCCACATGTTCCAATATCTGCCTCTAACTCCTGACATGGCTATTCCTCTGGGTGTGTCCATGTCCCAAATCCCCCTATGTAGAAAGACCCCAAACCCACCCTAATGACCTCACCCGAACTTGATTCCCTCTGTAGAGACTGTATCTCCAAATAAGGTCACATTCTGAATACTGAGCAATAGGACTTCAACAGAGTTGGGGGGGGGGGAATTCAACCCATTATAGGGGGGCTCACTGGAGGGAGGAGCCAGGACCTCAGAGGCCAGGGTGGGGGACAGAGCCGCTACAGGACGTTGAAGTCAGAGGAGTAGAGAGGGCTAATCTGGGGTTCCCAGACTCCTTTGTTCCCTGGAGAGACACTGGGCACTGCCTTTACCTCCCCAGAGGGGTTCCAGGGGAGCCTGGAAGCCCCAAAGAGCAAGCCTGTGTCCTACTGGGAAATGGGCCACCTTCTGGATGTCATCAGGGCATTTGGGGACAATCTCTTGCTGGTCTGGGAGATGCTACAGCCCACCAGGCAGCTTCAAGTGAATGAAGCCAAAATGGTGGTCTCTCCTGCATCAGGTGTGCTCCGCAGAGGGGAGGGAGGGCCAGTGGCCGCCTTCACCGGGCCCTGGGCCTAGTGAAGCCTGGACCCAGAGGTCCCAATGGGCTCGGGCTCGGCTCGCGGCTCTGAGAAGAGAAGCTGAGTTCTGGGCCCCAAGGCCTCTCCCAGGCCCCCTGCAGAGTGGCCAGAAGGGTGCCCTCCCACCCACTCCCTACCCACTGAGGACGCAGGACCCCCTGCCCCTTCCCACGGGCCTCTCCTGTGTTTGCAGTACCTGACTCGGCAGCTGGGCCTGGACTCTGTGGCTTTCGGCTACCTGCAGACCACCTTTGGGGTGCTTCAGCTGCTGGGCGGGCCACTATTTGGCAGGTACTGTCAGGTGGGGAAGTTTGGGGGCCCTCCCCTGCCATGACCTGGGTCTGCCCCTCAGAGGTCATGGGCTGGGTCATGCCGGCTTCCCAGACCTGACCCTGGGCCCACTAGGGTGACAGCAGCTCCTGTTCCAAAGAGGGGGACGCTGAGCCCAGGAGATCTATTTATCAGGCTAGTAAAGCCCCTGCCCCCCATTTCCACCAACGCTGGTTTGCAGCCACACAGAGAATCATACTAGCAATGCTCTCATGGCTGCACACGGACTGCTCCACCTGGACTGAGCTGGGGGTCCCAGAAGAAACTCTTCTGGGACCCCCAGACCCCCGCCAGTCTCAGGGAGGCGGGAGCATTGGGCCCAGGGCCATCGGCAGGCCTCCTCCTGCAGGAGTCAGATCTTTAGGGTAACTGTGCAGAAAAGGGGCTGCAGAGGCAGCAGTCAGACAGAGCAGGGGCCCCGGGGGGGACAGGTGCAGATAGGGCTGGAGCCTGGGAGATATTTTATTTTATTTTTTAAGATTTTATGTATTTATCTGGGAGAGAGAGAGAGGGAGCATGAGCAAGGGGAGCAGCAGAGGGAGAGGGAGAAGCAGACGCCCCGCTGAGCAGGGATCCCAAGGTGGGGTTGGCCCCCTGGGGCCCTGAGGTCACAACCTGAGCCTAAGGCAGATGCTTCTCCCACTGAGCCCCCTGGGTGCCCCTGGGAGACACTTTCTGTAAAACACACACACCCGGGTGCTCCATCTGGACCCCACAAGGTCTGCTCAAAGGGAGTAGGAATGCCGGGCTGGGTCAGACACCCCATCACTGAAAACTGCCCCAGTGGAAGGATGGGGAAGCCGAGACCCCACAGGGACCACGGGCACCCAGGTCTCCCTGGTGGCCTTGAGCAGATCCCGGGGCCTAGAGATCCGCAGCCCCAGGGGGTGGGCGTCAGCGGCAGAGGGGGCGGGGAGGGCCCGCCTACTCTCCGCGGCCTCACAGGTTGGGGCCCCCCAGGTTCGCCGACCAGCGTGGGGCGCGGGCCGCGTTCACGCTCAGCTTCCTGGCGGCATCCACCTTCTACCTGCTTCTGGCGGCCGCCTGCAGCCCGAGCCTGCCGGGCCTGGCCTTGCTCTACGCTGCGCCCCTGCCCGCCGCGCTCGCGCACGGGCTGCCAGGTAGTGCCAGGCGGGGTGCCTCCTGGCTGCGGGAGGACTGCGGGGGGGGGGGGGGGGGCACGTGGGGGCGCCTGGCCCCGGTGCGACCTGGGAGGTGGGGCGTGCCCAGAGCCAGCCAGAGGGCGGGACAGGGGTCGCTCAGGGGCCAGGCGGGGCGCACAGCAGGGGTGACACTGGGCTCCGCGAGGGGCCCCGCGCTCAGCCCCCGGCCTCCCGCAGCCGCCCAGATGGTCATAGCGGACCTGTCTGCGCCCGAGGAGCGGCCGGCGGCCCTGGGCCGGCTGGGCCTGTGCTTCGGCGTCGGCATGATCCTCGGCTCGCTGCTCGGCGGGACCCTGAGCGCCGCGTCCGGGTGAGCGGCGAGGCGGGGAGGGCGGCGGGCTGGAGGGCGGGTGCGGCTGGGCCCGGTGAAGGAAAGGGGGGGCGGGGCCGGGGGGCCGGGGCGCGACTGCAGCTCCGCCCACTCGCCCCTTCCCCGCCAGACGGACACCGCGCACCCACCGCACCCACCGTCAACAGGCGCTGCAGCCCCGCAGGGTGCGCATCGGGGCAGCGCCCACACAGTGTAACCCCCCCCCTTGGCCCCAGGAGGTCCCAGCTGGGGGGACCTGTTGCCGTCAGGGGTCACGGGGCAGTCAGGCTGGACCTAGAGAAACCAGAGGGCAGGCCCTGGAGGCGGGGTCCCGGCAGGGCCAGTGGGCGCCCTGGGGGCCGCTTCTGGAGGTTTCGGAACTGCACTGAGCTGTCTGTGCAGCGGCCCTAGGAGTGCCCCCCCCACCCCGGGGGAGAAGAGCGTGACCTTGGACCCGGCACGCCTAGCCCTGGAGAGGCCACACCAGGCCAGGGAGGGGAGCCTCGTTTCCGCTGGGAGACCGGCGCCCCACCCGGTTCCTCCTCCCCACCCCTAGCACCCCAACACTCACTCCAGATCGGCCTCTTTCATAGGAATGGACCTTGCCCCTGGCCTTCATTCAGACACAGCCTTTGCTTTCAGTTCGGAAGCAGGAGCCCAGCTGTGGGTGGAGGCCCGGTGCCAGCTAGTGACCCAACCGCCCTGTGCAGGCTAGGGGAGCTGCCCTGGGACTCCGCTCAGGGGAGGAGCCCTCCTGGTGTCTGAATCACACACACACACACACACACACACACACACACACACACACTCATACATAAGCACACAGGCCTTCCAGTCTTGGGTGGACCCTCTGCTAGCCCTGGGCCTCTGGGGGCATCAGCTCCCCCAGGCTCCCCAAGTACCTCCAGACGGACCTCAACTGCAGTAGATGTGGGCGGGGCATGGCTGATCCCTGGGGACTAGAGAAGAGGAGGGGAGGGTGACCTCCTTACACCAGCTTCCTCTGGACGGAAGTCCTTGACCCCACCTGTCTCCTCCCCAGTACTTTCACCAGAGCCTGGCTTGTGGATGTCTGTCTCTGCTCAGGCAGGAGGCTGCAGTGGGGAAGGTGGGGCTCCCTTCACCTGTTCCCTCACCACTATTTACTGAACAGCTAAGTGCCCTGGGATTCCAGGTTCTGGGACACGGCGGTGATGAGGCCAAGTCCTCGGATAAAGTGAAAATGATATGTATTTCTATAATGTCAGGGTGAGCTGCATGGAGTCAAAAGTAATACAGCAGGATTAAGGGCAGTTCAACAGGTGGCCTCCAGGGCCTCACCCGAAGGAGTTGAGAAGGGTGGCAGGAGGACGTCTGGGGACGCAAAGCCCCACCAGATGCAAAGGCCCTGAGGTTGGGAAAGGGAAGAGGCTGGTATGGCTGGAGTGGGGGAACAGGGAATGGATGGAGGGGAGGTGCACAGGGGGCCAGGCCAGGGAGCCTGAGTGTGACCCAGCTACTGTGTGGAGAACAGGGGAGCAAGGGCCACTTCAGGGAGACCAGTGAGGTGGCTATTGTACCAGTCCAGGCAGGAGGGGGCAGCTGGACCAGGGAGGGCAGTGGGGGGAGAGGGCAGAGGGCAGGGTATGCCTAGGTTTTGCTGATGGGTGGGATGTGGGTGTGAACACAGGGCCATGCCTAGACCCTGGGGTGGCCCTGGGCGAGCCATGAATCCTGCTGAGATCTGAGCAATCCATGGTGCTGGAGGGATCCGGGTCACATTGGGCTGAGTCTGGTGCCTGTTAGGCTGTGGATCGGGCAGCTGTGGGTCACTCAGCTGAGTGAGGGGGTGTGTAGTGGGCAGAGCGGGGCTATGTCCTCACATGGGTGGTTTTTAAGCCCTGGGAACTGGTTCAGGTTGAGCCCTGAGCCCTGAGCCCAGACCTGGCACTTCATATTAGAAGCGGGGCTCAAGGGAGAGACACAGTGAGGACAGGAAGGGAGCGAGATCCAGGAGAACATTGCAGAAGCCAAGGGGCATGTGGGTCACAGAGGGGAGGGCCCTGCCACTGGGGTGGTGGGAGCAAGAGAAAGAGGATCGGGGGCATATTAGGGGGGGTCAGGGGGTAAAGAGGGTGCAGGAGAGGGAGAGGCAGGGCAGGGAGGAGCCCCCAGGCTGCCCCACCCACCTGGGCTCTCAGCAGCCCAGCCACCCGCTACGGTGGACCTCGGGGCACCTACTGTCACCTACCTGGACAGGTGCTCTCACCTGTGAAATGGGCGCACCCGCACTGTGTCCAGGGTGTGCGGGGATGGGTGGGGAAACAGGTCCCCAGGAGAGGGTGTCTCCTCCACGGAGCTCCAGGTCTCCATCCTGTGCCCCATGGCAGGGGCCAGCGCCCTGTCTCCCTGTCTCCCCACCGCAAAGACCACATCCCGCCTCCCTTCCCTGTCCCCAGTAGAAACCCAGGCACATTGTCAGGGCTCCTTGTCCATCACCTTCCTGCCCAGTCTGTACCCTGTGACCCGTCCTCCGAAAGGGCTCAGCCATGCCCCCTACCTCCGGGGCAGCGGGGGGTGAGGGGGAGGAAGTGGCTTTGGCAGCCTCAGGATGTGGGACGGGCACTGGTATAACTGGTTTGGGCTCAGCGGGGAGCTCCAGCTGGGAGGCCAGGGCCCTGAGTCACTTAGCAGGTGGGGAGCACTCTGTGACTCACGGCTTTGAGTTAGGTCCCAGGGGATGGGGTCCAGGGGCTCCTGGAAAGGGGAGCCATCCTGCAAACCCTGCTGGCAGTGGGACCGGGTGAGCCCCCCAGCCTGACTCCTGGACTTGGTGTGGGCAGGCCTCCCACCACCTGATTCTGAGGGGCTGGTCCCCGCAAAGTCACGGGGTATAGTCAAGGCTCTGGTCCCTGGAAGGGCTCGGGGTTTGGACAGATCCCCATGGGGATAGCAATTCCTTTAGGCTTGGGAGGATTTGCAGCCGGCCAGGGCAACTTCTGCTCCCGGAGGTCAGGCAAACTGACTCTGTGTCACGGTCATCTGGCAGCCCTGCTGGGTACTCACTGGCCAGTGAGTGGCCCTGCCCCGGCCCCAGCACTGCCACCAGCTTTGCCCACTGGGCCCTCAGTGACTCAGAGGGAATTTACTATGCTCCTTATCTCCCTGAGGACTTGGGATGTTATCTCAGCCTTTGGTCTGGCCTGGGGAATGGGAAGCCCTTATCCTGTTGACAGGGTTTCCGCCCCGGTGACACGGTGACACCACTGCTTCCCCTGGAAGTTAATGAGTAAACACTCGGGGCTGCCCTGAATGACTCTGAGACAGAGTGCATGGTGGCTCAGCCCAGCAGCCTACTACACTTGCTGCTCATGCAGTCTCACCGAGGCTCTGCAGGGTCAGCCAGGCCTGCTGGTACCCACCATGGGAGGGTAGGAGGGGACACAGAGACCCAGCAGAAGGACCCCGGGTGTTCCAGGCACTGGGAAGTGCACGAACAGGACCCAGCTGGCCCAGAGCATGCTCAGTTGAGACCTGACAGGGGAGGGAGAAGTCAATTGTTGAAGGTGGGACTGGGATGGGCGAGACCAAGGGAAAGCCTGTGCAAAGGCCCTGGGGCAGGAAGGAGCTTGGGGCATGGGGCATGCTTGGAGGCCTGTGTGGTTGAAGCAGAGAGATCAAGTGCTCAGGGAACACAGGGGGCTACAAAGGGTCAGGCCAGACAAGGCTTTTCATCCTTTTTTTCTGGGCCCCAGAAGCTAGAGGGGGGCTGAATCAGGAGTGGCCCCACAGACTTTCATTTTCAGACATTGTTCTAGTGAGAGTGTCATGGGATTGGGGAGGGCAGGGTGACTTCTCCACCCCAAGCTCCAGGCTGGACAGCCAATGACTTTCACATCCTTGTGTCACAGGAAGCTGGGTCCCAGCTGACCCCAGTCTGTCCCCCAGGTCAGATAGGAGAGGGCCCGGGGACCCTCAGGGCAGGGGCGAGGGCAGCACTGGCTTCGTGAGTACTGTCACCATGTGGTCGGAGAGGACAAAAGCATAGCACCCACAGGGTGGGCAGATGGCCTGGCCCGCTGCCCTCCTGACGACGTCATGTTGGTGAATGGCAGGCCCCAAGCTAAGGACGAAAGGCAGGTCGCAGTCAGCCGTACCGTTCCACCAGCGCCAGCGACTGGCCGACAAACTGTGGCCAGTGGTCAGGGCTCCAGGCTGGCCAGGCAGCCCCTGGGGACCTGTGCAGCCCTCGGTGTCCCAAGAGGGTGGCCTTCATTGCATCTGAATGAGGTCACTGCAGAGAAGGGCAAAAGGACAGAAAGATCCAGCAAGGTCACTGCAGAGAAGGGCAAAAGGACAGAAAGACGGATGTCCGGAGTCCTGCCGGGGGGTCCCTTCATGGCCTGCATCCCTCGGGCCTCCTGTCCGTCCATTCAACCAAAACCCGAAGGGGTGGGTAGGCAGAGACACCCTGAACGTGGCCTGCCCTCGGGGTCCACACTCAAACTGTAACCCCGCTCCAACGAGCCAACAACCGGACACGGCCGTCCGCGATCCTGCACAAAGGGGCAGGAGGCTCCGGTGGGGAGTTGACTGTGCCCGGTGCTCAGGGGTGCACCTACCCACACGTCCTGGGCAGGGGCGCCAAGCTGCGCCCTGGAGGCCAGAGGGCTCCCAGGCTGAGAGGATGCCCTCCGTGCAGGGTGGGGCGGGGGCTGAGCTGGCCGCTGTGGTCCCTTGGCTTTCTGCTCCCTCTGGCATCTGTCCTGGGGAGTCGGCGGGGGGCCTGCGGCGGGGGAGGACACCCCCCACGTCCCCTGGGAAGCTGAGGCCCCCTACTCCCTCTGGGGCCCCCTGGTTTAGCAGCCATCACTGAGGAGTGGGTGCAATGCCACAGGGAGGGCCCTGGCTCTGTGCCACCGGCCCTCGCTTGTCACCAGCCTCCCAAAATAGCCATCTAAGTGGCCGCCTCTGCTCCCGCGAACTTCCGGGGCATGTGGCGAAGAAAGCAGGTTCTGTCCCTGCCCGCCAGGCCCCAAGCAGTGACGTGCAGGTCCCGAAGAAAGGGCCCTTCTCTCTGGGGCCAGCCATCGGGGCCGGGGAGTCCCTGCCCGCGTCACAGATCCGTTCCTGCTGGCCCTGGCCCTCCCCAGGGGGCTGAGTCCGGGCCTCTGACCCCCTGGCCTGTCAGTCGCAGACGCGCCCGTTCATTCAGAAGCCTGGTAGTCAGAAAGCCCGATTATCCACCATCCAGGGCGGTGGGAGTCGGCTGGGGGGCCACAGATGGAGTGGGGGAAGGAAGGCCAGCTCCGCCCCTGACCAACGGTGTGAGTCTGGGGGGGTCCTAGCCAGAGATGCGGGGTGATCCTGCCCCCACAGCCCCCCTGACCCCCGGTGGAACAGGGCCTTTCCTGCCTGTGGTTTGCCAAGGGAGCTATATGTGTGCGTGTGTGCCCCCGCGTGTCTGTGCGCACGCGTGCAGCAGCAGTGGGCAAGAGCAGGAAGTCCTTTCTCTGCACCCCGCAGAGAGCCGGGGCACCTTGTGTCTATGCCCTGAGGCCTTGTACAGGGCAGGTGTGGGGCTGGTGAATTGGGGTCAGGACCTTGTTCACACATGTGTTCCCTGGTCTGATGTTCACTGGGGCCTTGGCACAGGGTCCCACCCGGGCCCACTGGTCCTCGGGGCCAGCCACTTCCAACTAATGGAGCAAGCCCCTCTTGGAGGACAAGGTGTTGGGGCTTGTGGAAAGGGCTCTTGCAGGTTGTATAGGAGTTTCCTCTGCTGCTGAGGGGAAGGGCTTCATGGCCGCGCACCAGCCTGGAAGGTCAGAGCGGCCTGGCCCTGTAAGTTCCCATTCTTTCCTATCTTCCCCTCCACACCCTGGAGGGGACAGGTTGGCCTCCAGAAGAAATAGTCATGATCGGGGTGGCCAGCCCCCACCCAGGGCCCATGCTGTCAGGTGACACTGCCTGCCTGGCCACTTGTGCCCTCCATGCAGTGACTCGTGGTTGGGGAAGGACTGTGTCAGGAGCTGACGCTGAGGGGCCTGCCTGAGTCTGGGTCCCTGGTGGTGGTCTGGGCAGGCCGGAGGGAGGGCATCTGAGGGTGGTGTCCGAAGCCCCTTCCCAAGCCCAGCATGGCCAGCCCCACAGGAAGAGGGGCACAATGGGCAGGGGCTCCTGAGGCCATTGTGAGTGATGGGAAGGAGGCATGAAGGTCGCCCAGACACAGATGAGGCCGTGTGGGATCCCATGGTCTTCTTGCAGGTGGAGCCAAGAGGCAGGCTGGGCCCCCTGCCACCCCTGCACCTCATCCTGGTGTCCTGACCCCAGTGCCACCTGACACATAGCTCCCCATCTGCCCAAAGGGCCAGACGTGTGTCACCTAAAGGATGAGGCGAGCCGCCCCCCCACCCCAGGAGGCCACTCCAGTCCCACCAGAGGGATGAAAACTGCTCTGGGGCCAGGGTCCTTTCTCCAGGAGCCTCAGTTTTCCCCTCTGTAAAATAGGCAGGACTCATGGCCTGCCCCCTTCTGCCGGGGGTATGCAGGGAGCTCCTCTGTGTTCGAAGACATGGCCTGGAGCTGAGCCCTGGGACCCCCGACGTGTGACTCCCCTGCCCTGGCTGAGACCTGCCATCTGGGGGCCTCCCTACCCCTCAGCAGTCTGGGAGCTGCCCATCTCCCGAGAGAAGCCGCCCCTCCCCTCCCTCCAGGGCTCAGCTCCGGGGCTCCCGCCACTGCCCACTCTCGGAGACCCGGGGCCCACTTGCCGTGGCTGCCAGAGGCTGCAGCTGCATGTGAGCCTCGGGCCTGGAGACAGCTCCACGTGCTTCTTCATCACATCACCTCATGAATGTGCCCTGTGAGTCCCGCCCCTGCCCCCAGCCACGGGCTGTGGGGATGTGGCTGCTGGGGTTTGAGCTGTTCTCAGCTGTCCAGACCCCAGCTTGGCTGAGGGGCTTATGGAGGAGATGCCGCACGCAGTACCCACACCCAAGGACCCAAGTCCTGTGTGACCACTGCTGTCACCCCCAGGATTCAGTGTCCAGCCTTCGTGGCTCTTGTGGCCAGCCTTGTGGCAGCTGTCCTCAGCTTCACCTGCATCCCCACCAGCACTAAGGGGGTTAGCGCCAATGCCCAGGCTACCCCTCCAGGTAAGCCCCACCAGGTATACCCTCCAGGTAGTTCCCAGCAGGTACTCCTCTCCGGGTGGGCCCCACTGGATACTCCCCTGGAGGTGTGCAGGAGCACTGGTCCTGGGGAGTGCCAAGGTGGGGGGCAGAGCAGTGCAGCTAGGACATGTGGGACCTCCCAGGCTCACAAGGGAGGGCAGGGCTCCACAGAGGAGCCAACAGGGGACCCCTGCCTCTGTGCCCAGTGACTGAAAGCCTGGACCCAGAAAGGTCAGGAGGGAGGACATGCACCGGGCCCTGGAGGGGATAGAGGCACAGCCAAACTGGCCTCCAGGAGAGCTGGGCAGGTGGGGAGGGCAGGGGGTGCCCAGCCACACGCAGCTGGAAGCCGATGCCACAATGCTCAGAGGTGGTCACTGGGTCAGGAAATGGTGGGTGCTCGCAGCCAGACCATGGCCCCCACTCCCCAGCGGCTGCCGGTGGCCAGCAGGTCACACAGGTCGGGGGAGCGAGGGCCAGGGCTGAGCCAGGCTGCCTGCGAGTGGAGGTGCTGTGTTTCCGGGGTGCCTCCCAGGGTCAGTGGGAGCTGAGGGCTTGGCTCTAGGAGTGTGCAGAACTGCCCCGAGAAGGGCCTCCCCGCAACCCTGCAGGCCTTCCCGCCCCCTCCCAGGGCCCAGGCCAGGTTGGGGTGCTGAGGAGAGGGCCATGCAGTGGTCTGAGCAGCCTCCCGGGGTCCCCTAGGGGCACCCAAGGCCAGCATCTTTGACCTGAAAGCCATCAGCCGCCTGTTGCTGCAGCCCGGTGTCCTGCCCGTGTTCCTGGTCAAGGTGGTGTCCGGCTTCCCCTCCGGTAAGTCCCCGAGCCTGGCGTGGATCCCTCCCTCCGCCGGGGGGGCCGAGCTCTGCAGCCTCCCCGTGCCATCACCCATCACATGGAGGACAGGCTCCCGGTTCATGCTGAATGGCTGCAGGAGTGAGGGCGGTAGGGCAGCCCCAGTGGCTCAGCGGTTTAGCGCCGCCTTCAGCCTAGGGCCTGATCCTGGAGTCCCGGGATCCAGTCCCACATCGGGCTCCCTGCATGGAGGCTGCTTCTGCCTCTGCCTGAGTCTCTGCCTCTCTCTCTCTCTCTCTGTATCTCTCATGAATAAATAAATAAAATCTTAAAAAAAAAAAAAGGAGTGAGGGGGGTAGAACAGAAAAGCAGTGCCCCTCCCCCGCAGCCCTCAGGCCCCCCTCCACGCAGTCCTCAGCACCCCACCGGGCAGGCTCCAAGCCCCCTGTTCTGGGGGTCCTCTAACTGGGGGCAGCACAGGACAAATTAAGGGGGTGTTGTGCTGGCGCCAAAGAGTTCATCTCTTGCCCTCAGAGAGTTCTCACTCTTGCAAAAGCAGAAGTCTCGGGGTTGGGTCCATGGGGGTGAAGGAGGAGGCAGATGTTGCCCGGCAGGGGCCTCACCAGCTGTGCCGGATCCAGGCTGGCTCTTCGGGGCTGACTTCAGTTAAAAGGGTCTTTGGGGGCCACCAGAGGGCCTGGGGTCACATCCTCCCACATTGTCAGCCCTGGGGCCCCCCCGCCTCCCAACAGCCCTCACACAGGATGCCCTGATGCCCTGGGCTCCGGCCAGCCTGGCCACAGGGTAGCTTCTGGCACTTTCCTAGGCATTGTCTCCATTGGTCCCTGGGGCCATGTTTCCCGTGCCCGAGATCCACAGAATCCTCAGGAAAGCTGTCAGGGACCCGGCTGACATCACCTGCCAGTTGTCCTTGAACCAGTCACTGTGGCTAGACCAGGGCTCCCAGCCCAGCTGACAGGGGAGACGGGCCCTGCGGCCAGTGGCTTGGGGACAACCAGGCAGCTGCTCCTTGCCTCTCCTAGGACTGTTCCTGGTCATGTTCTCCATCATCTCCATGGACTTCTTCCAGCTGGATGCCGCTCAGGCCGGCTACCTCACGTCCTTCTTTGGGGTGCTCCAGATGGTGAGTGGCTACCAGGGGCTCAAGGTGCGCCTCAGGTAGGTCAGGGGTCTTGGGATGCGATGGACCGTGCAGCCTGCCTGCCTCAGTTTCTCCACGGCTCGGAGGCTGTCCTGCACTCCTGCCATCCACATTCTGCATGGTTAGCTTCCGGCTGCCCTCCTGCCAGCCGGGGTGCACACTGTGCCCCCAAGTGGGCTTGCCCTCCTGTCCCGGCTCCAGGCTCCCATCAGTGGGCTTGTATCCTATGTCCACACCCACCCGCCTGGAGGTCCTGTCTGCTGAGAGGGCAGGAAGGAGGCTAGTGCCCAGCAAAAGCTGGTGTCAAGGGTCCACCCGGTATCCATCTGGCACCCCACTGCGGATGGGCCAGGGCAGGAGTGGTGCCCGTTGTGGGGAGCACATGACAAGGCTGCCCACCCACAGCAGGCAAGCTCTCCAAGCTGAGGTCCCCGTCTCCTTGTCCATCCAGTGAGGCAGACCACAGTGACTTGTGGGCTGTTTGGTAGATTAAATGAGTGCTCAGAACAGGCCGGGCATCTCGGGGGTCCCACCCAAGTGACAATCACTGTGTCCTCATGAAATGCCCCGAGACTGGTGGCCCCAGGGCAGGAGGTACCTGAGAAGAGTGTTCAGGTGGGACAGGTGTCCTGTGTGCCATCTCCCAGGCCCTGGCTCCTCCTAGGCATCTGTGCCAGGCTGGGGGGCCGGGGCAGGGACAGGTGGCGACGCACTGCCGCCGCCCTGGACGCCTGCCCAACAGCCGGAGTGCGGGAGGGGCTATTCTGGGACCGTCTGGGGGGAGGCAGCTTGGGACCTCTCCGGAAGCGCATGACATTCCCAGCACCTCCAGGCCATCTGCTCCCCATGCTGCCGCCACCGCTGGGCCCAGAACCGGTCCGGACCCCGCTGCTAAAATAGTAGCTCCCGTGGCGGCTCCGCAGGGCAGAGGGAGGGCCTTGGCGCCACAGGCCAGGATGGGCTGGGCGACAAACAAAACAACAACGACAGCAAACCAGATTTGGGGCCACTGGGGCAGGGTTCTAGATGGCTGCCCCTGGCCACCCAGGCTCTGCCCTGGACCCCGGGGATAGACTAGTAGCCTGCGGCCTGGGCAAGGACCTGGTCCACAGTGGCGCCCCTGCCTGAGCTGGGCCTGGGGTTCCAGCACCTGTAGGGATGGCAGGCTACCCTGGGGTGGCTGCTTCTGGAACCTCTGTGCACAAAGGTGGGGGTCTCACGTCTACAGGGAGACGCCTTAAGGCCCCTCATCAGCACCGCCCCGTCCCCAGGCCCCCTAGGGTAGGGTTGCTCACCGAGGGTCTGAGAGGCAGCCCCACTGTAAGGTGAGCCGAGCCTGTGCCTGGCACCCCCCACCTGCTGCCTCCCTCCACAAACCATTTCCTGCCCCCTCCTGAAGTGTGGCATTGGCAGCCGGACCCCAAGGGAACCACGGCATCCCCTGCCCTGCTCCCTGGGTGGTCCTAACGCAAGGAGATGGTGGTGTCTCCCCAGGGGACTTGCAGACCCTCCTGTGAGAGCCCCCACTCGGCCAGGTGCTGGGCCACCGCAGTGGCAGATCAGCACCCAGCCACCTACACACCTGATGTGTCGGGGTGACCAGGACCTCACGGGAGAACAGGGTCCTCAGAAGGGCAGTGGTCGGGGGCTGGGAGGGCTGCAGGTGCAAAGGGCCTGTGGTGGGGAGCTTGCCAGCTGCTGAGCAGACTGAGGCAGAGGGCCTAGGCTCTGAGGACGCGTTGTGGGGGGTGGTCTGCAGGGCAGGAGGGGCCTGGATGTCCTGAGACTAGGGTGGGGGCTGCAGAGAGGGTCTGCGCAGGGGCTGGACATGGTCATACAAGGGTCTCTGGGCGCTGTTAGAGAGGGGTGCAAGGAACGTGAGTGCTTCACGGAGCCCATGTTGCCCCTGGGGGAGGTGTGAGCGGACGGGCCTGTTTGTTAACTTCCAGTTCCGTGTAGTAACCTGCAAGACACGGAAGTTTAGGATTTTTTTTTAAATTCATGAGAGACATAGAGAAAGAGAGAGAGGCTGAGACACAGGCAGAGGGAGAAGCAGGCTCCCTGTGGGGGTCCAATGCAGGACTCGATCCCAGGACCCCGGGATCACGCCCTGAGCTGAAGGCAGACGCTCAACAGCTGAGCCACCAGGCGCTCCAGTGTAGGATTTTTTTTAAGCGAATAGGGAAACTGAGGCACAACAGCACTGCCCCAGGGTTTTGGTCTGGGTGTTTATATGAATGGCGAGGCCAGATGTCACCCCACCATGGTCTTGAGAGTCCTCCAGCTGCGCTGTGCTGAGGGACTTGCCTAATAGACCTTCCTCTACAAAAAGAGGCAAACAAATCTAAGATCAGGCAAATCTGAAAGTAGGATTTTTTTTTAAAGGTCATTTATTTATGGTTCTGGTTTGAAGCAGTTTTTTTAGGCCAGGCAGGCAGTGAGGGGGGCGGGTGACCCCACTGAGCAGGGCTGGGCTGGGTCCATCCCAGGACACGCAGCATGTCCCTGATCCCCAGGGACGCTGACCCCCAGCCTCCCTCCTAGCCCCTGAGGGCACCCCTGGCTCTTGCTGCCTGCCTGGTGGAGGCAGGGAGAGGACCATGGGGAGCCCCATCCTGATCTGGGAGCAGCCTGCCCCTTGAGGCCCGGCCTTTCATCTGGCTTCGGGGAAAGGAGCAGTGGCAGGAAAGGGAGTGCCTCACCTTCCCCTGGCACCTGTAGGTGCTGGGGTTCACCATCCATCACCCTGAACCCTGCTCCTGCTCTGGGACCCGGGGCAAGTGACACCAGCCTGTGGGCCTCGACTCACCTGCTGTGACTGGGGCGTGGTGAGGACGCAGAGCTGCGGGACTGGTCCCCGTCCGGGGATGGCCCCTGGTGGACAGTGGCTGAGACGTCTGCGGGCCCGCCATGTGGAGGAGCCCACACGGGCACACGTCCCTGGGCTCGGGCCTCCCCATCTGAGACACGCCAGGTCCTGCCCCCGACCAGAACGCTAAAGACGTGGCTGAAGGGGACAGGGGCCACTGGATGGAGCTTCCCGGGCCACAGGGGTCCCCTGCTCTGGAGTCAGGGCCGCACAGCAAGTGCTTCTGGAGGAAACCCCGTAAGCGTTGCCTCCCGAACCTGCCCTCGGCGGTGGTCCGGCCTCCTTGGAGGAACATGTGCTCATCACACCAGAGATTAAGGACACAGGATGGGTTTCGGAGGAGCCGGTGGCCTATGAGCAGCTGCACAAGGGAACAGGTTCCTGGGTCAGGGGCCTAGGCAGCCCCATCTCCCCAGGGACCCTGCTGCTGACACACACACTACTAGACCTTCTCTTCTACCCTGACCTGATGGCCGCTAGGTCCAGGAGGGGACCCCCAGGGCCGCCGACAGCAAGGGAGGTCCCCAGGGCAGGGGACAGCCCCGTCCAGACCCCTCCCACCATCACCCCTCCCCCTGCCTCCCCAGGTCATTCAGGGCGTGGTCATCGGGTGGTTGAGCAGCCACTTCTCCGAGGGGACCCTGCTCCGGGCCAGCGTGCTCGTCTTCATCGCGGTGGGAGTGGCCATGGTGAGCCCTTCCCTCAGGGCAGCCCCCCCAACCCAAGGCACCCACGACGAGGGGCGGGGTCCCAGGCCCATCCCCCTAAGCCCCTGGGCCCCTTGGTCCCTCCACTTCCTCCAGGGCCACCCCTCCCTGGGGGGTTTCAGGGATGGGCACTTCCGCCCTGGTCCCGTGCGTCCCCCAGTCGCCATGGCCTCCCCGCCCTGCCCCGTGCCAGGCCCTGATGTCCAAAGTCCTCCACTTCTGCCTCTTGATGCCTGGCCTGGTCTTCAGCCTGTGTGCCCTCAACGTGGTCACCGACAGCATGCTGACCAAGGCTGTCTCAGCCTCAGACACAGGTGAGAGCCGGGGTGGGCATGCGCTGGGGAGCCCGGGGCCTCCTCTCTGCAAGGCTTGCTGGGCAGTTTTAGACGGAGCGTGTACCCCGATTGCAGGCTTAGTCTGCCTGGCCCCAGTGAGCATTGAGTGGGGTGGGCTGCCTGGGGTCTCCATGGGCAAGGCAGGGCTGGCGGGCCACAAGATGGCTCAGGTGACACTTTGCACCCCAGTCTGGGCCAGGCCAGGGTGGGGGGGAAGTGGAGGGGTGTGAGGAGGAGAGGAGGGCTTCCTGGGGGCCGTGTCTGGCTTGGCTCTGAAGTGTGGGCAGGATTTCCCTAAACAGGAGGGTGGAAAGATGGCAGTGCAGCCATCCCAGCTGGGCAGAGGTGTGGAGTGGGGTGTGGAATGGAAAGTCCCCTGCAGAGGCCGGTCAGGAAGATGGCCCAGGGGCGCCAAGTGTGCTCAGCCCAGGAAGGGGCTTGCCTGCGAGGCTGGAACTCGGGAGCCGGTCTTGTGCTCCCTCTAGCACCCGGGGGCGGGGGGATGGGGTGCGGGTGCTTCCTGAATGAGTGAATGAAGGCACGCAGCTAGTTGAATCCGGGACACCCCCAGCTCCCCACCCCGGCCCCCAGGGGAACACAGATGTCCCCAGCCCTCATTCTGCACCTTGCTCTCTTGAGGCTTGAGTCTCCCACCCAGATTCAGGTCCCTGGGCCTGACTGTGCCCCTGCTGCTGCCCATCCCTCACCTCCACTCCCACCCCCACCCCCGGTCCAGGTGGGCAGGGGGCAGGCAGGAGGCAGGCCGAGTTCAGGGGTTCCTGGAGCTGGTGGAGGGTGAAGGACCTAGCAGGCTAGAAAGCTCAGGGGGCCTGTCCAACCCTCGCTCCATCCACCTGTCTGCCTGGGAAGGACAGACGGAGGTCTAGAGGCCCGGATGGGAACCAGGTGGCTGATGGGCAAGGCCTCTTCCCCCGTGGCCAGGCACGGCCTGGAGGGTGGCCTGGAGTGGTAGCCGATACCCAGGAGAGGCCGGGAGAAGGCAGGGGAACAAAGCGAGGAGGGTGGAGGCAGGGCCTGGCAGGGAGGAGGGTGGAGCGTACCCCAGCTACCGGGGCCACCCAGAGCCCGAGGCACCACCCCTCAGCTCGGAAGGAGCCAGGAGCTGGTTCCCAGCACCAGCCTGGGAACCCGAGACCACAGAGGGGGCGTAGTAATTGCTCCCCGGTGTCTGCAGGGCGTGTGGGCGATGGGAGAAGCCGCTCTTAAATTTCCCCCACGCCAGGCCCTGAGCTCGGGCAGGGCCTCACCAGGCCGTTCCCCACTGGCACAGCCGGCTTTCTGATTCCTGGGACAAGGGACGGGGCTCTGAGCCCCAGAAGCCTAGGACCCCCAGACACACGTCATGCTGACAGTACCCCCATGCACGCTTGCCCACACGGGGCACGGCTGCTGGGAGGTACTCAGCGACAGGGGTGTCAGGTAGCCGGGAGCACAGGCAGTCAGGTGAGCCTGGGAAGTGGGCACAGAGAGGCGGGGGGGGGGGGGGGCACGCTCCCGTCCATATGAGGGTGGTCGGGGCTGGAGCGTGATCCTGGGAGTGTCGGCCTGCCTCGTACCCCAGCCCCCAGCCCACCCTACCCACCCTACCTGGTTCCAGGCCGGCTGGGATGCCATCTCCCTGGCAGGCCTAGAAGGGCAGGGCCTGACCCATGACCTGTGCACCCCCCCACCTCCCAGGCTCCTCCTGTGCTCTGGAACTTTCCAGGGCAGGGCACAGGCTGAGCTCCACATCTGAGAAGCACCAGTGCAGCTTCTGCACAGCTGGTGATCTGGAAAGAGCAGACCTCCACGTCTGGCTGGAGGGAGCTAGGGGAGCAGAGGGATGATGGTGGGGACAGGGGAGGTCTCAGCTGTGTCCAGGGACCCGTTGTGACTTGCCCTCCACCCCCACCCCTCAGGGACCATGCTGGGCCTCTGTGCCTCCATACAGCCCTTGACTCGCACCGTGGGGCCCACCGTGGGCGGCCTCCTGTACCGCAGCTTTGGGGTCCCTGTCTTCGGCCACGTGCAGTTTGCCACCAACGTCCTTGTCCTCCTGGTGCTCTGGAGACAGCCTCTGCCCCAGAAGAGGGACAAAGTCGGGTGACCGTGGTCCCAGGGCACAGACTGGCAATAAATTCCTCCTCCTGCCTAATTTTTGCAAACTCTCATGGGTCACACGGGACCTGGGGGTGAGTGATGCAGTGATGCAGCCCCAGAGGCTGGAGAGCTTCCTGGAGGTAGGGGGTGGGGGGTGGCCACAGGGCCCAGCGCTCTGGCAGAGCTGAGTCACCTGAGCTGTCCCTGTGCGTGGGCCCTGCCCCCTGCAGCGCACTGCCAAAGCCAAGGCCAGTTAGAAGGCTCCCCCTGCTGCCACCGGGACAGCTCTGCTCAAACCCCCAGAGACGGGAGCTTTCTGGTCACCCCCAGTCCACCATCACTTGGCCTCAGGCTGAGCACACTGCCCATTCGCCCTTGTCACTCACCCCACGTGAATGGAAACAGCTTGTTTTCAAAGAGTTCAAGGCTTGGAAAGAGGTCTCGGAAAACTGCCCCTTGCTCCCTGGTGGGTAGCCCAGTGGGTAGAGCCAGGCAGTGAGTCCTGAGGACTGGGGAGCACGTCCCTCCTCCTCCCTCACCTCCCCAACAGAGAGAACAGTCCCAGGAGGAGGGGCAGGTGACCCTGAAACCAGGAAGGTCACCCCTCCCCCCAATCCACCCCCTACCGCACCCGCCCCACCTGCACACAGGCTGCCTGGAAAACAAGCTATTACAGCTCGGGACCCCCAACTCCAGAATTCCGTGGACCCAACCAGAGGGGCTGCAGAGAGCAGAGGTCTAGAACCCTCCTGACCCAAGAGCTCAGACCAGACTGGCTTCTGTGTGAACCCCACTGGGGATGGGGCTCTCACCCCAACTTTGGCCCGTCGTCAGGATGCAGGTCTGGACAGAAGGCTCCAGAGAGTGGCAGGATGGGGTGCATTGGGGGCAATGCAGGCCCTGGGGCCCTTCTCTCTACTTCTTCAGAGGAATCCCCTCCCCCAACAACAAGTCCTGTCGTTTGGGGGAAAGTTCCTTGCAGGGAATGGTTTCCTCTGGCTTCCCAGCAAAGGGAAGCCCTGCCTGGGTCTGAGCCCCAGGGGCCCTGCGATGATTTCCACCAGGCTTCCCAGGTCCCGTGTGGGTGACGCCAGGACCCAATTTCGGTCCTTCACTCCCCACAGCCATCCTTCCAGCCAGAAAGGTCACCAAAATGAAGGTCCCCTCAACAGGTGGAGATCAGTGTCCTATCCTTCTGTCCTCTGGCTGGTTCATCACCAGTGGACCTTCCAGCTGGAGGCATACAACTCTGAGTCCTCCCACTGGGCAGCCCTGGACACACTGTCTCTGCTCACCCCAGAGGACGCAGCCGTGCGGGGAGGGCAGAAGTGGCCGGCTGGCCTGGCCAACCATCAGGAATGGTGTGGATCCCCCCTGACTTGCCCGGGAGCCCCGCCACTGCCTTCCTGGTTCCAACACTGTGGGTGCTGGCTAGCCAGGACCTAGCGGCTGGATCGCTGGAGCTGCCCGGGGCCCCTCTGTGGGGTGGGGTGGGGTCAAGGGGAGCAGAGGGCTGGGGGCTTCCTTCTGGAGGGCCTTCGGACAGGTGGCATGTGGGTGGTGGGGGGCAGCTGCGGCCGGCTGGGCGCAGCTCATGGCGGGGGTGCGCTGACCACGGCCGGTGAGGCGAGGCGAGGCGAGGCGGGTTGGGAGGGCCCTCCCTGAGCAAGCAGTGGCCCCGCGGCCTTCCGGCCTCCCGAGGCACACCCAGGAGCAGAAGTCAGCCAGGGCCAAACCTCAGGGCACTTCCCAGCCTCGGGAGAGGTCGCCTGGCAAGGAGGGTGTGAACACGGCCCAGCAGATGACACTGCGTTCATTGACTTCCCTGCCCCTCAGACGCGGGGGTGCTGGCTTTCCCCACCCCGCCCCACACCCACAGAAGGGGGCCCCCACCCCCCCACCCCGGGGCAAGAACCTCACGCACCACGCCGGGGCTGGTAGAAAAGGGAAAAGACCAAGTCGTTTATTTGGAATGAACATATGATGCAAAAACGAAATATTAAGACAGACGGTTCCATGACAACCATCACAATAAATACATAGATAGTCTGATAATTTAACGCGCCTGCTCAGCAGGCCCAGGCTCTGCGGTTCCGCGTGGGAAGATCCTTCGATGTGGGTCAGGGCCTCGGCTCCCGGCCTCGGCGCGCACGGTGCTCGGCGGGTGCGCGGCGCGGCGCGGGGCTCCCGCCGTCCCGGGCGGCCCCGGGCTCCTGCCGGCGCGGCCCCGTGGGGCTCGGTCCGCAGCGCCGGCTCCTGCGGGGGCGGGGGCGGGGGCGGGGGCGGGGGCGGGGGCGAGCGGGTCCCCCGCCCGGGCCCGCCCGGCGGCCGGCACTCACCGCGGGGCGCTCAGGGCGCGCGGGGCGGCCGGGGCTCGGGGGGCGCGGCGGGCGCGGCGCGCTCCTGGCGGCTGCGGAAGTCCTGCAGGGCGCGGCGGTTCTGGAAGTCGATGAGCGCCAGCGTGATGGCCGCGTTCCAGCAGCTCTCGCCCGCGCAGCGGAAGTCGATCTCCTTGCGGTCGGTGGTGACGATGGTGAAGTAGACGTACTTGCCGGTGCGCTCCACGCAGTCCACCTTGAGGATGGAGTGGAAGCGCAGCTCCTTGGGGCGCGCGCCGGGCCCGGCGGGGAAGAGGCGCAGGCGGTCGGGGGTGAGCACGCCGCGCTTCTTCTTCCAGAGCTGGAACAGGCTGTCGCTGCGCTTCTCCAGCTCGCCCTCGCGCAGCACCTCGCCGGGAGTCTTCATGGCGGCGGCGGCGGCGGCGGCGGCGGCGGCGGCGACGAGAGGGCAGCGCTCGCGAGGCGGCGGCGACGGTCTGCGCCCGGGCCGGCCCGGCGCCGCCTTTATGGGGCCCCGCCCGCGCCGGCCCCGCCCCGCCCCCCGAGGCCCCGCCCCTTCCCCGAGGCCCCGCCCCGCCCGCCCCGGGTCGCCCGCGCCGCCGCTGTTCCCCCGCGCGCCAGCCCCGGCCCTCGTGGGGTGACTCGCGGTCCCCACCCCGCCCCGGACGCCGGGCCCGCGGAGGAATGCGCTGCGGCCGGCCCTGCCCGCGCTGACTCACCGCTCGGGAGCCCCGGGAAGCGCCGGCGACGGGCCCGGACCCCCACCGCCCAGGCGGCCCGGGGAGACCCCCGCCGGCCCCGCCCCGCCCCGCCCCGCCCCGCCCCGCCCCGTCCCGCCGGCCTGCGGTCCCACCTCGCCCCCCGCGGGCCGCCCTGCCGCGACCTGCCCTCACCCCCCGGGCCACGCCGACCCGGAGAGCAGGTGCTGCGCGCCTGCTTTCCCTTCTGCGAAATGGGGACACCAGTACTTCTGTTAGGTTAGGGAACATACGCAAAGTGCTGAAACAGCACCCGTTGGAGCTCAATAAACGCGAGGGACCCCTCCTTCCCGCGCCCCCTGGCAGAGGGCAGGGGACGACCCTCACCGCCTGCACAGCCCAGTGGGGAGAGGTCCCTGCTGGTGCCGGAGGGTCAGCCTGGAGAGGGCGGCGGGGGCGGCTGAGTCATGCCTCCCAGCCAGGGCGGGCAGGCTCTTTTTTTTTTTTTTGAAAAAAAAAAAAAAAAAAACTCTCTTCCTTTAAAGGGTTTATAGGAGCCGAGCGCTCCCGGGCTCCTCCCCGGTTCCCAGGGGTGGGGGTGGAGTCGCAGGAGGGGTCTCTGGGGACCTGGCGCTGGCAGGGCACCTACCTTTCCAACAGCTCCACCTAGCTGTGACTCTGGGAAAGGACTGCAGACAGACGGAGGGAGGGCCCGGGGCCCCAGGAGGTGGTCAAGCTTGCAGGGTGGTTGCAAAAGAAAACACGGGTCCCTGGTTCAAACTAGACTCCAGTGTTCATGCTGGTGACAGCAGAGCATAAAGGAGTGCAGGACCCCTGTGGGAACAGGGCCATGAAGCTGGCCTGGACTGCCCCTGCCCCTCACCCCTGCTGTGCAGCCCTGGGGAGTCCCCTAACCTCTCCAAGGGCGTTCGGAACCCTGGCCCAAAGGGTCACTGGCTCCCACGAGAGGCTTGGGCCAGGCCTTGGCAGGTGGAAGACAGAGCTATCCTCTCTCAAGACAACGCAGGTGGCCATGGCCTTGGAAGGGGTCAGTCCGGTCGGTCACTACAGGCATCCCAGCAGAACTGGCTTTTCATATCAGGCTGTGTGCGACCGCTGACCCTCCATCCCCCAGAGCACTCGGCCTTCGTGGGTTGGGGGTGTCAGGCAGTGAGACCCAGCAAGAGGCAGTGGGCCACCAGGAGAAGCAGACCAGGGACAGAGGTCCCCACGAACCTGCCAGGAGCCCACCGCTCTGCCTGTACCCCTTGGAGGCCTGTGGGTGCCCACCAGCCTGCCTCCCCTCGCAGCACTCCTCTCCCTGCCTCCCATCGGCCAGGCCTCTCTGGGGAGCTTTGAGGGGACAGTGACCTGTGCTCTGACAGGTGGGTGTCAGAGGGAGCCAGGAGGACAGTCTCAGGGGGTGGAGAGCCAGGGGCAGGGCAGCCTGAGTGTGTGTGGGGGGGGGGTGGATATTGGGCTGGGGATCCCAGAGGGTTGGGGTCGGGAGTTGGGCCCATCCAGGCAGCTTCACTACTGTCAGCGCCTGCCCCAGTGCCTGAGACCCCATCCACCAGAGGCCTCCTGGGGAACCTGCCAGCTCTGGCACACCGCTAAGTTAGACGCCCTGTGCCTGCCCCACCCCCCAGCAGGCCCATCTGGGGACCCTCTGGGGTGGGGAGTGGAGAAAGGATGATGTGGAAGCAAAGCACTGACCTTGTAGCCCTAAGGGCAGACCGTTCAGGGGAGCCCCTCCCTGAGCCACTTGATAGCCAGGGCCCCAGAAGACACACCAGCCAGCTTCCTGCCAGGTACCAGGGACCCTGGGGTGGACTTGGCCTGTGTCCCAAGGGGAGCTGCAGTTCATCAGGGTTCTTGGCCAGGAGAGTGCTGGACAGCCAGCCACAGGCTGGGGACATGGGGGTGGGGGAAGCAGCACCCCGCAGGTCTCCAACCCTGTTGGCCTCCTGACAACATGGGGGCTGCTGTAGTGGCTTTCTTGGGTTTGCAGGGAATGGAGTGGGGGTCTCAGAGAAGTTGGGGACTCAGCTGAGCTCATCCCCTGGGACCAGCCAGTGGGATCTGGATCCACTGTCCTGTGTGCGCCCCAAGGCCTGGGGGCAGGAAGTGGCCCCACCCAAACGACCCGGGAGGGGCCCCTGCACTGGGCTTTGCCTCCATACATGGCGTCAGGCGGTGTGGGTCAGAGCCAAGTTTACTAATATTTATCCAAGGGTCGCATCTGGGATTCATGCGGGGCCTGCCTGGGGGGGACCCGCTCCCGCCCCCGGGCAGACAGGTCCCCCAGACATCTGGCCAGGGACACCTGCTGTCCTGCACAGCTGAGTGAGGATGTCCCCAGACACAATGAGGGCACCTCTCTCAAACGCCCCTCATGAGGTCATCCGCACCCTGGAGGCTCTTGCCCAACCAGCCTGGGAACAGTGGCCGGTGAGGAAGCCATGCGTCACACCCGGCCCAGTGCCCGGGGCTCGATACCACCCTCTTCCTGTGGGAGGTGGTGCTCAGAACAGCCCCGGGGTGGGGCTCTCCACGTCCCCCGCCTGGGAGACTCTCTCCGCTGGCCTCCTCCAGGAAGCCCCCTGGGATTGCCGGGGTATGCCCTAAGGCCTGCTCCCCGAGCTGTGTAACTGCTGGGCCTTCGGGTCCCCGGGATGGCTCCAGTGTGAACCTTAGGAGGGCAGGGGAGGCCCACAAACCAGGGAGGCGGCCTGATGCCACCTGACCTGAGTGTGCCATAGCCCATTGGCCGCCACCCGTGACTCAGGCCTGCCCTGGATCTGTATCCTCTGGGCGGGGAGCCTGGGAAAAGTGAGAGGCCCCAGAGCAGGAAGCTGGTTTCAGGTTTTCACTGTCAGCCCGGCTTGGCCCCGCAGAGCTGCATCTCTTGCTTCTCTGAGCCCCTTGGCTGGAGTCTGATGGGCAGGGCCCACCTCACCAGACATAGTGACACTGACCAGAATACCTTTCCCTCCTTGGCCCCCGGCAAGCTCCTATTCATCCTTCAGTGCCCTGCTCAAAGGTCACTATCAGCCCCTGGAATGCAGTGATAAGGGTCTCCGTCTTTGGGGCCCCTGGGGCCCAGCCCAGGTGCTCAGGAAAGGTTGTGGGAGACATGTGGAACTAAACCGCAGTGACCTCGGGAGGGGCTAGGGCGGGGGGGGGGGGCAGGCCTGGGCTTGGGAGAGGGGCGGGGAGCCCACGGGGGAAGATTGCCCAGGGCCTGGTTCCTGGGGACACGGGACCTCTCTGCAAGCTTGAATGAAAGGAATGCGCCAAACACAGGGTGGGAGGGTGGGCGGGAGGGCAGAGGTGAACAGGGTGTGGCTGCCACCCTGTGGACAGTGGTCAGCACCTGCAGGCCCCGGGCAGAGTCATCATGGGACAGACAGGACATCTGGCTCCTGCCCACCCCAACCCCTGAGGGTGGACTCTTTACTAATATTTATCCAAGGGTCCCATCCGGGGACTCACGTGGCGGCTCCCTGGGGGGATGCCCACTCCTGCCCCCACAGACTGGCCCCCAAACGGGAAGCAACCCGTGCCTGTTGACGACAAAAGAACAGATAAACAAGACGTGGGCCATCCACACGCTGGACGGTCACTCAGCCTGAACAAGGAGGGACGCGCTGACATCTGCCACAGCGTGGGTGGACCTGGGGGACCTGATGTTGTGACACGGGCCAGACACTGGGGGACACATCCTGAAGGATTCCACCCACACGAGGGCCCTAGAGTCTCCAAATTCACAGGGACAGAGAGTGGACGGTGGTCACAGGGGCTGAGGGAGGGATGGGGTCAGTGTCTCCTGGGGACAGAGTGGACGGTGGTCACAGGGCTGGGGAAGGGACGGGGTCAGTGTCTCAGGGAGACAGAGTATCTGTTTGGGATGATGGACAGTCCTGGAGACGGACAGTGGGGACGGCTGCACAACAGTGTGAATGTGCATAGTGGCCCTGAGCTGTGGCTTAGAGTCAGTGAAGATGGCCCATTTTATGTGTATTTTACCCACAATTTAAGAAATGTGTTTACATGTGAATATGCACGTGTGTGCAGATGGGGGACACGTGCACAAGTACTGTTCTATTTGGTCTGTGTCCCGAGTGTCCCCAGGCGCCTGCCTCCCTTCCTGGGCAGAACCCTGCAGTTTCGCCTGGTGGTGCTCAGGCCACGCTGGGCTGTGCGATCGTTGTAAGCGACGTAAGCGATGAGGCACGATCACCCCGGGACGCCCCACACACAGGCAGGATGTCGCTAGGACTGTGAACCGTGTGACTGCTCTGAGACCGCGTGCCCACCGCCCACGCTCCCCGCTGAAGGTGCCAGGGGCCCTGCATTCACGCAGCTGCTCTCCAGCCCAGCGGCCACAGCCTGTGCTGTCTCCATGGAGCCTGTGAAGGCCACTTGGTGTGGTTACTTGGGGTTACCTAATGTGACAAGAGATGCCATTAGAGACTTTGAGAGGTCATCCCGGAATATCCGGGTGCTCCCTGAATGCCATCAGTGTCCTCCCTAGAGAGGGTGGAGGGCATGCAGGACGCCTGGGGCCCCCAGCCCCTGGAGGAGCGATTAGGACCCCCCACCCCAGCGCCCCTGGAGGGAGTGGGGCCCCACCTGCGCCTGGATTTGTGCTTCGGGTCTTCACAAGCCTCGAATGTTCCTTTGTCACAACCACCCCGGCCACTAACAAAGCCCTAGGTGTCTGCTGCCAACCCTCCCCTCATCCTGCCACACGGCCTGGTGGCAGGTG